TCGAAACCAGACTAACTTCGTGACAAGTGCTGAAATGAATTATAAAATGAGATTAATGCTTCTTTCTTGCTGATTTGTCTGTTTTTCGTTTCGAAAACTTGCACAAATCTACACAAGGTCTATGTGTAGATTAATCACCCCTAATTTCAAACTTACTGACTATAGAAGGAAGACTATTAAATAACAACATCCACAACCAATTCTTGGGCTACGATAATCGAATAGTAAGATTTGACCCTCATTTTTATAATGAACCTATGTCCATAAGGGTGCGGAGCACGATTTTGCGGCAACTTTCTCATCAGAATTTTCCTGATGAGTCAGCGGTAAGGTTACAAACTTACGACGCCAAAATCCAGGGCTCGATTCCCGGCGATGGTCGGAGTGCAAATAACCTATTGTGTAGTTTTGCTCTCCGGTGGCTCAGTGGTGAGTCAGTCGGCTTACAATGCTCAAAACTGGGTTTCGATACCCACGGTGGGTTGAGCACAGATAGCCCATTGTGTAGCTTATCGCTTTATATTAAATATAGAACTGGTGCGAAAGTATGTTTTTTTAATATAATTTTCTTGGCGTTTTATACAATTTATAATCGTAATCTACGAAAAATAGTTATTATCTGCCACTATCAAAGATCGATTTCTCTCACGACGATGTTTGTTTTGTCTTGTTTTAGCGCAAAGCTACACAATAGACTATCTACGCTCTGTCCACCACAGAGAACCAAATCCCGGATTTTAACGTTGTTATCCTGTAAACAGCTCTGGCCTACTGGGGAGTCGCTCAAGAAAAACATTTCTTTGGTGCAAATAATATAATTAATCTATTAGATCCCGTAAAACTGAAAATCTGCAATGTTTTAGTAAAAATTAAATCAATTTACTACGAGCTTAAAAACTTAAATATTAAAATAGAGAGAAAAGATAAATTTATAAAGTTTATAGAAAAAATATATGGGGTCACTTTAAATTCAGAATATATATCTAATGTCAAAATAAGGAAGATTATACACATAATATAAAAAATGTGAGTTTTTAATCTATTACATATTTCGGCATTTTAAAAGGATTTTTTTCTCCATAACATAGATTGTTTTAGCACGTAGTGTAAGAACAGTAGCAACAACATATGAAATGCAAAATGTAACATCGGACTTGATTCTAAAAATTTCTTGTGCAGAGCCAACGAACTACAATATATTCAAACTAGGCCTAACACTAAAATTAAGAGGTAATTAGGAGCAGCATCTTTAATTTTTGTGAAACGAGGAAATTGTTAACGAAAAACATGCGACTGCAAAAAAACAAAACAAAAAAACAAGATCTCTTAATAATGATTAAGAATACAAAACTGTCTATTTTTCAATACTTATTTGTAGATTTTGATATATGTATACAGAGGTGTCACTTAACTTGCATTTAAAACACTTGCCAATATATAGTTTCATCCGGATGCAATTGGTTGAAATAGGTGAAGAGTTATATTTATGTTTCCCCTACTGAAATATTCATGCGTTTGAAATTTGTTATTCAAACCGCTCAACTGCCTGGTACATGTGATTTATTTCTCGATCGTGAAACACCTTGTACAAATCCTGCCCACGCAGTTAGCTCTGGCCTCATTAAACACTGAATTCTTACAATTCGAAGGGTGAAGTTCTAAAGCAATATATGTGCATTTCAATCTTAAGAAGCGAGTTTTCACTAGCAGTTAAAATAAACACTACGGATACACATCATAACCAAGAACAAACAATCCAATTCTTAGGACCGACGACTATGGTACTCCATTGTTCTCTATTCCACCTTACATGCACCAAGTTCCCTAATTCAAGCTTTTCATGTCCAATTCATTTTAAAATGTCACGGAACAAAATGAGTGTCTGCCTGCCTCTCATTTTTTCCTTCGATTTTGATCACCAGAATCTCAGCCAACCTTCTTTCAGACTTAATACATTCCCAAAGTAGCATATCTTCCGTTTTCTACATATGCCCAGCAGTTGTCTTTTTTAACGTTTCATAACTTCTTTATTAGTTGTTCTTTCTTATGTAGCTGATCTTCATCATTCTTCTATAACACGACATTTCATGTGATTCCAGTTGTCGTTCTGTTTCAGCAGACATGGTCCATGTTTCCATCCTGTAGAATATGGCTGACCATACATAACACTTCAGTAGTCTTTTTCTTCAGTTCTAAGTTTACACCTTTCCTGAACAATACTTGACTGACGATTGCTGTTTTTTGACATTCCTGTCTTTTCGGCACTTTCCATCACTACTGATATTTATCCCTAATTAAGTAAATCCCTCTACCTGTTCCAATAAGTTTGATAACTTCAAATCGTGAAATTACCATTGTATTAGTTTGTTTTGGTTTTTGTTGTTGTTTTTACATTTATTCTGAGTCTATAGTCTTTTCCTTTTATCAACAATTCTGGCCTCCTCAGATTCACCAATAAGTGCCCTATCATCAAAAACCTATATCCGTTAACCATGATATTTTCTATGTTAGTACTTATCTCTCTCATCAGCCACTTCGTAGATTGCATACACATTATATAATGTTGGTGATGACACACATCCTTGCCATGTGCCTTTCTTAACTGAAAACAACTGTTTTGTTCTTCGTCAATTCTAACTGCAGCTTCTTGACTCCAGTACAAGTTCTTCAGTATTTTGATATTCGATTGGTCTACCTCAATCTGATGCAAAATCTCGATTAACTTGTCATAGTTAACCCTGTCAAAAGTTTTTTAGAATCTATGAAGCATACATAAAGATTTCTTTGCATCTCCCTGGCTCTTTCCCCAACATTCTAAAGGCAAATGTGCCCCTCGCATGTCCCGACCTCGTCTAAACCATATTTCTGTTAAGACACCTCATCTCAAACGTTTATTTAATTCTATCGAAGATTACTTTTCAGAGGTAAATTAGCATGCCAATAGTCCTGTATTGTTCGTATTCCATTACCCTAGTATGTGGACATTGTTCTTCATCTATAAATGCAGTCAGATAGTAAATTCCTAAAATTTCTATTTCCTTTAAAAATTCTGCTAAAACCCCATATGTTCCGCAAGCTTTTAAATTTTTCAATCTTCTAATGGCTTCCTGCATACACTTTTCAGAACTACTGGTCGTTGTTAATTATTTATATCATTTATAGGACTGGTTCCACTTCCCTGGAATCATTTTACAATTACCTCTCACAATCTGCCCACTTCTCTTTAACATCCTCAATTTCAAAAAGTAACTGGTCATCTTTACTTGTAATGGCTCCTTTTCAACTCTTTTATTCTTCTATGCATTTATGTATATTAGGCAAGTTCTTATTTTATTAATATTTCTAATTGACTTTTATTCTCTGTCACAAAGTACTGGGCTATGTTTTTTATCTTATTTTTAAATTGTTCTAACTTCCATTTTGCCATGCGTGAGTCCTCTTTGTTCATCTTTTCAGGTTAGTTTTAGTTCTAACTATTGTAATATTGTTTTTGAAATATTCTACCTTTTACCTCACAAAAATATATTAATCTATATTTTCTCTCGTTTCATTCTACAAAACCATGTGGTCCAACCAGTACGCCATTCCTACCCTTATCTACCTTTGCATTAAAATTGTCCATTATCATCAGATATTCTTTTGAGTTCAATACCCGCATAGCTTCCTCAACATTTTGGTAAAATTTCTTTTCTTCACTATCAGATGTGAGCGCATAAACTTGGATGATGGCTAAATCAAAGAGTTTTGCCTTAAATTTGACTAACTTAACCTCTCTGAGATAAGTTAGGAGCCTTACGCACAGCTGCTTTACTCTTCTTTCACTAAGATACTTACTCGTCTGTGACATTCATCTCTTCTGAATTCATACATTTACAGCACTAAACCAGTCCACTTGATTATCTTTGCTTTAGGCCAGTGGTTCTCAGTTTGTGGTCCACAGGCTACTTATGACAAGTGGAAAAGTAGCATTATTGTAGAAAGGAAGTGGTGGTATAGTGTATAGATCCCATTATGGTTCGTGAAATAAATATTAATAATAATTCGGGTGGTCCACAAACAAAAAACAAGATTGAAAAAGAACGCCCCAAGATATCACACTTCAGTCTTTTCATCTCTTGGCATACATTGCTCAATTTTTCAATTCTTTAAGAGTCCTCATCTTCATCTTGACACAAGGTTCCTCGTTGTTGCTTTTATGGTTTTCAACATCATAATTCAGAGTCCCAGGAGAGTGGGCTTTGCCCGCAGCCCATCATTATGGAATCATCTAATAACAGGAACACTAGAATTCTTCCTGGTAGCATACTTCATGACAGACTCCCCGAGGATCCTACATCCTGCCATAAATATCTTTACTACTTTATTCGAACTTCTCATACCAATAGCGCTATTGTTCAGATGATGACCAGGAGGTGGTTATCGGGATAGGTTTAGACGACCAGTGCAATGCCTAGGAACCATCCAATCCTCATATCAGAAACATCCAAAAGCCAATCTAGAGTTGAATTTAAACTAAAAAAAAAGTATATTAACTAAAGGTTAATTTGTTGGAGTATTATTACATCGAAGGAATAATAAAATGGATCATCAAGAAATTTTTAAAACAGTGGAGCTGGAGCATATTGTGGTGTATCATAAGTTTGTTATATATGAGTAGCAGTATAATTAATTTTCATTAATTACTTTTCCACTATCATGTTCATCAGAGTTATCACATAGTTTGTGTATGTTAGGAAAGTTGTTGTTTATATTTTTCAAACATTAGCATTTGGTAGATTACTTTTCAGTATAATATATGCAGAAAAACTGTAACTGCATGTTTCTACTACTTGCGACACACTTTCTTCTTTTTTCTCTTGTTCTGCGAATTTCTTCAACATAAACAAAAGCGCTAGCTAGAGACATACAGGACAAAGGCAAGTCCCAGTGCGAAAATAATCTTGTGCCGAGTGCAATAAAGTGGTGGTGTTGAGCGCAAAATTTGCAATACCCTCAAAAACCTTAGAAATAACTTGTTTATGGTTAGGCGTATTTGCTGTGTGTTGTGATCATCAGTGTTAGTACTAGTTATTCTTGATACCGACAGGCTTTCTAAGGCGAATCACGATTCTAAGGTTTTGGACAATACTGTTTTAGACTTCTTTAAAATTTAGGCAAAAATAACTTAACGTTTATAATGTAATTTTACTTTTGTTTGTTCCGTAAAGCATATAGCTTAAAGGCTGAAGACGAAATTTAAAGTTAAAAACTAAACGCATTAACTTAAAGACAGGTTAAGACTGAAACTGTATAGTGTACTGTATTACTAATACTAATAGTGTATAGCTCGGTGTAAAAAGACTCGTAAATCCTTAGTTTGTAACGTTACTCAGTTATTTAAGTTATAGGGATATCCTACACAGCTACAGCACAGTGTTCATTAGGTTTTATATGCATTTAATTTAATATTGCCTTTGGTGAATTCAAAGAAGAAACTTTTGTGAAAAAAGCCATTCAGTTTCACTTAGCCTTCAGCTTCATGACGTCAATGATGAGGTTTGTTTTCATCAAATATTTTTCTAATAATACATAAGGATTACAAAAACTTAATACTAGTAGTATTAAAAATATATTACTGTTAATAATAATAATACTGGTTTATTGTTTTATCAAATAAAACTGTAAACTGACCTAGTGCAGGCCTAATTAATTTAATATTAATAATATTAGTATTATTAGATTAAAGTTATAACTTGGCAAATTGCTTAATTACTAAATTAGTTAACTTGCATTCCAAATTATAGTTAAACTTTAAAATTCTACTCACTTAAGTCAAGACCAAGTTCATTTACATTTGCAATGTTACTGAGCCTATATAAATTTACTTTTGATAGTGATACTAGTTATTGGCAAAATTATCATAATATTACATAGTAATCTATCTTTTTTTTGTTGTTGTTGTTACTTGTTATCTGGAATTTGGATGGTGGAAAGAATGTAGACTTGGTGTATTTAGATCTCCAGAAAGCCTTTGATAAGGTACTACACAAAAGATTAGCCGACTGTTGTGAAAAGACAAGTTAATTGGATGTAAGGTGATTGTATGGGGGAAAGCAAAAAGTTGTTATAATGTAGAGCAGTGTTTTGGAAGCTGATTTTCATACGTGACCCCATTTTGAAAAATAAAAAATTTACATGGCCCTCTACCACACCCAAAACAAACCAACAACCAACTCATTCACAGGGCAATTGTCAAAGCTTTTAAATCCACAACTAAAGTAGGTCTAGCTGTGATCATCATCTGTATCATGACCTATTGGCTGTTGCTGCAACTCAGTGACCCACAGTTTGGAAACCTGTTTTCATTCTATTATCTTCAGAATATACCACAAAGAAAACAGATGCCTTTATACTATTGATCCCCTGGATGATCTTGAAAGAATTATATAAAATTACCTCTTTCCTTTTTTTTCTCAAGAGAAAATGAGAGACCTTAATCTATTCTTGTAAGATAACCCTTCCATCCCAGGAATCATTCTGTTAGCCCTCTTCTGAACCCTTTCTGGTATCCTTTCTTAGAGATGGAAACCAAATCTGTTCCCAGTATTCCAAATGTTATATGTATGGTGAGATAAATGCTGTAAATGACTTGTAATCAGTATACCTGTAAATACATCTTAAAATTATTAGCTTCACTAAGTAGCAGTAGAACACTGCTTTAATGGCTTGACTGACTTATCCACCAATATGTCAGGATCTTTTTCTTAAATCACCCTATTGAGTAGCCCCTCCTCTTTTTTTTTTGGAATGGGTGGACAGCTCTGATGTTATCTCTTAAGTGTTATGTTAAACTTATAATCAAAATGTGGTAACCCAGATGTATTACCTTGCACTTGCAATAATTAAAAGTCATTTGCTAAATATTTACAGTTTTCCAATTGATCCAAGTAGTTCTGTAATATCTCAATAACAAAGGTGTAAACTCTGACAACTGAGGTATCCGCTAGTACCAAGGATCCAGTATAACAACCTTTTGTTTTCTCCCATATAGCCACCCTACAGTCGAATTAACTAGTCTTTCCACCATGTAGTAAGTATGTGATTTTCTTAAGTTATCGCTTGTGTAGCATTTTATCAAAAACACCTTAAAAACTCAAGTACATACACACTATTGTTGAGATAAGAAGTAATATCCTCAAAAGAAAAAAAAACAGATTAGTAAGGCTGAATGTGCATTATCTTTCAGATATGACAATTTCACTAAATAATTTTGTAATACTCCTTTCATCAGTCTAAAATTTTGAACACTAAAAAAATAAAACCCAACTGCCCTATATTTTCCAGGGTATTTCTTATTGCTCTTTTCAGAAATAGAAGTAGCATTAACAATTCTCAAATTCTCAGGTATATGTCCACTGTTGAACTACAAAATAGTAGAGGCTCGCATATTTGATTTTTGACATGCTTAAAAACTTGTGGAAAACGGCTGTCCATGGTGTTTGATAAATTTTTAATATTGATCTTTTTAACTGCAACCAAGATTTTAATATCTTCATGATTCAAGTCAATTCCAATATTTCCTATATAATCTTCAGGATGAGGAATGTTATTAGTGTCTTCTCTTGAAGAATCATTTAAAAGCTTGGCCATCTCATAGTCTTGGATGAAAAAAATTACTTGTCCTCAGCATCCTTTAAGGACCCATTCCTAATTATAAAACTTATTTTACCATTTTTTTTTAACATATTTTAACTTTAACCAAATCCCTAGATTTCCTATATTTAGGTTAAACTTCAAACTATTTAAACTTCTTAAACTTATGGCATTCTTGAGTAATAATAGGTAAGCAAACAACAATTTATAAGCATAAGGAAAAGTATTATTGATGGTTGAACATGCTACGTATTTTGACAGAATATTGATCTGTCTTCTTCATTGCTGACATTCTCCTTTCATGTTTAGTAAGACAATAGATTTGATCTTTCCTGTTGTTCTGTTCCTCTTTCTAGAAACATGCTCATCTTAAATTAAAAATTATTTATTATTTCAAATTTCTCACATCATCTTTTACTCAGTATTCAAATTTACTAGTGATAAATGTTGTCTTACGGCCTCAAATTGGCTTTTTGAAAATTAGGAAGTAAGTTTCATTAATAATGTCTAGTTATATTGACTCATGTTGCTATTGGAGTACCTTGGGGATCGGTGTTTGGGCCTTTACTTTTGTTTATTTATTTATGTTAATGATATTACTTGGAGCATAATTAGTAAAGTTTGCAAAAGATATCAGAACCTTGGGTATTTCCAGCTGTATTGATGAGGTTCAGGTATTAAAGAATGACTGGGAATAATAGGTGAATTTGACAAATATGTAGTTAATGACCTACGAAAAGTACAGTGAATGCAAGGTAATACATTTAGGCTGACATGTATAATATAAATGGTAACTCACAGAATACCATGAATAAAGAAAAGGATCTTGATATATTGGTGGATAAGTCAGTCAAGATACTGAAGTAGCGCTCTATTGCTAGTAGTAAAGTTACTAGAATTTTAGGGTGTATCTACAGACATTGATTACTAATAAGAGGTACAGTTACTATCTCTACACAAATTACTAGTTAAACCTCACTTGAAATATTATGTACTGTTTTGGTCTAAGAAAGGATATTAGCTTATTGGAAATCATTCAGAGGAGAGCTGTTAGGATGATCATAGGGATGGAAGGGTTATCTTAAAGGAATATGTTAAGATCTTTGAGAAAAGAAAAGTGAGAGGTGATAAATAAGTTTATAAGATTAAATCAGCAATGAATAAAATAGAGGGTTCCTATTCCTTTTGTGAGTTAGTGAATTCTACTTTTATTTCAAAATGGTTTTGTTTACTGTTCATTTATTAATCCTTCTATCATTTAGTTCACCTATGAATTTTTAGTTATATTAAAATGATAACTCGCTTATCTAAAGTACATTGAATTTGAGTAAGTGATACTGATACAAGCTTTCCCTTGCAGTGATGTACAGATATTAATGTTGTGAAAAATTATGTAAGTTAGCTAGTCACATGAGATATAACCAGTAAATAAAAACCTTTCCTTGATCTTAAACAAGTTCACAAGGTATAGTTAGAATGAATTATTGTTGAGTGTTGCTTGATATTGTTGTTCATCCTGAGAAGTGGTTTGATTTTTGAATTATGTTTTTTATTCTGGTTTTTTTACCTAATTCCTTTATGTATTGAAATTAATAACATTGATATTTATGTTGTATTATTTATTAACATTTGTATCAGAGTCCTGGCTAGGCATGGATTTACTGTTTTTCTTTTTCTTTTTTTTTTGTAAGTGATAACACTTTAATTCCAATTGTTTGAAAGTTTTATTATGGATTTCTATTGTTCTTAGTTTAATAAGTTGCTTTTTGTTTGACCCTGATTGTATTGGCATTTTGTTTTAGTTCATTACAGTTTATACTGTATTCTGAAAACAATAGAATAAAAGGACAGAAGTTTAAGATCTGTAACAGATAAACTAGACTTCAATTAAGGATACTTTAGCTTTCTAATTGTATGATTGACTTATGAATTGCTGTTGGCAGCAGTGAAGGCCAGAACTTTAAAAGAGTTCGAGAGGAAATTGATTTCCTGTAAAATAATAATTTTTTGTTGTTCTTGCTTTTCTTGAGTGTAGGTGCATAAGGAATACTCTAAAAGACCGTATGGTCCATATTTTGAATTGTGGCAGTGCTTAAGACATGAAAGCCTTGCTCGGACAAATACTTTTGAACTCTTACTTGTCTGATTAAACAAGTGAAAAAAAAGTAGTTTCTTAAACTAATAAATGTAAATACTATATATTTGTTTTATTACTTCATTTGTGTAACACTGGACAACATCTGGACTTACAAACTATGAGTTTTTGAGCTTTTTTTTTTAAATTAACACACTGTTTTGGGTGGTATTTAACAACACTTAGAGTTATAAGATAATGATTTTGCAGGTGTTGTTCTTGTTTTGTTTTCCGAATGATTTTTTTCATTGATAAAAATGTTAGTTCACAATGTGTCAAAGTAATTTTTTTTCATCTGTACGAAACAACAGAGAGTCTTTAAGGTTATTTAATGCAATGCCAAAAGTGTTGTTTTCACAATTTTTAGATTTTATTATGACATTATACTGTTACAAAATGTAAGGATACACAGGCCAAAGTATTATCAAGCCTTGCAATTAAGTAAGTCCAACTTAAATTGCTATATCCTAAATGCATAACTTTAACATAACACACTTACAATAAGGAACTGGTTAATCATTCCAGTACACACACTGCTTGAGGAAAAGTAAGATTTTAAACCCACCTTTACATTTGTCTCTACTGAAACACATTTTTCCATTGAGAATTACTCACTAAGCTGTCAAGTTTCCTTTAGAATAAGAAAAACATATCCAGCAGAGTTAGCTTTTCCAAGCTTCTTAATACATTTGTGAATATTATTATTATTACCAATTTGAAAATATATAACCTATCAAAATCATTGACATAATTAAAGAACAGCAAAAATCTAAAAAACAAACCTCTTAAAAAATCCAACTATTGTACTTTCATTCCTCTAATCTGAAAAATGTCTATGTATCGGTGCAGCCAAGAAGATACTATACTAGCACATTCACACACAGCATGTAAATGTTCCAGTTGTGCTAAATTGAGAATATATTGCATATAACATGTGTGACATAAACAGTATAAAGCTGTACATGATGGTGCAATAACTAATGACTTTACATATACCAGCAGATGAGTTACAATGCAGTGTATCTACTACATATTCTGTCGTACTGTTCTGTTGAATATTCTTCACCAAATGATGCAAAGTGTTGCATGTACATTTTGGTTTTCATATGTGTAATATACACAATAAAATTATCAATAGCCAAAGAAAATTGGTTTCGTGTATTCTATACAATACAAATACAAAGAGCCATTTCTGCCCTTATTCTTGATTCAAAGTCATTTGTATTTATCTTTCTCTGTTTACACCAGCTCACTGTTCACATCTATTATACTATCTTTACTTTTGTATTCTGATATCTATTTTGTATGTATGTGTGGTTCAGTGGTTAATATCATGATATTTGATGGGACAACATTGGGCTACATAACGTAACATTTTTAAAACAACAATAAAAGGACTGTTGGTCTATTGAGGCTGTTACATCCACTAAACTAAACAAAATACTCAAAGCTAGCCCTTATCGTATGGATATTTATCAAGCTTTCCCTTAGACATCTTACGTTTACTGCGTTTCACATCTCATGGTATTCAATTTTAAAGGCCAACTGCCTTGTTAAAAAAAGTAAAATCGTTTTAGCTGAAGATGACTCCTACCCTATTCCATCAAAATTTATATTTATGTTTCCTTGCCCTACCATTCTCACTATTAAGTATAAAAAAAGATGATGCATGAACACTATCACTTACCTTAACAATCTTAAACACCTCAATCAGATAGTTTCAGATATCTTAACCTGTCCTTGTATGACAAACTTTACTCCCTGGTTTCATCATAGTAGCCCTCTTTTGAACCTTTTCCAACAATTCAATGTCATTCTTAAGATAAGGAGCCCAAAACTGAACCCAATACTTCATATGAAACCTGACCAGTAATTTGTACAAAGGAATTGTAGCCTCTTTAGATTTTTATTCAGTATTTCTATAAATTGAACCTAAAATTGCATTTTCCCCATCACTAGTAGCAACAACAGCACACTGCTTGGATGGCTTAAGAAACTGATCAACCAACGCTCCAAGGTCCTTTTCTTCCATGAAACTGTTAAGGTGATTCCCATCAAATTGTACTTGTGATTTAATTATGATAGCCCACATCCATTACATTGTATTTATTATAATCAAAAGCCATTTTCTATTTATTTGTTTAACTCGCCATATAATTTAATTCTTTTTGTAAAGCAGCAGCATCCTCATCACAGCCAGCAACACCTAAGATCTTAATGATAGTTTGAAAATTTTCCATTCTACATATATGGTAATTTCTTATTCAAAGCTGATATGCATCATAGTCATTTTGGCTTTTTATTTTTTTATTTTAAAACTTGGTGATTGATATTTGAAAAGGGGCAACTAAATTAAATTTTACACTTCTGACACACTTCCTGAAGTGTTGCAGTCATTGAAATTTGATCCTTTTCAACAGTATTAATTTGCTAGATTTTTTATTTATTTGCTTTATTTGTTGTTTATATTTTAATTACAGTATATATTGCACACAATAACTCCTTGTGTTGAGTGTTTTTTATATTATTTCAAGTTCCAGTCCTTAGACACCTATCAAAAACAATAACAGAAGTACATTCTTCTTTATCCTAAACATTCCTTAGACATGTAGTTTGTTTTCAACATACATACTTTGAACATGCTTATATTATCCCACTACCTTAATAGTTAACTATAATACTCTGGAATTTATAGAAGTATAGGAAAATACATGCATACTCAGTGACTCTCTGAGCTTCTTTTTCTTTTTTTTTCGAGACTGAATAAATTATTTTTATAAATATTTATAAATATTATTTAAGAAATACTTGTTTCATTTTGGGAAATGTACTGACAGGTATTGTCTCCAGATTTTGTGTGTATGTGTGTTTATATATATTTATTTATTTTGGTGATTTGGCAAATGACAGTGTAAACCCTGCTACAGTGAGGAATGCTAAAAGATATGCAGCTACGTTTCCTTCCTAAAATGGGTGATTTTTTTTTAGTTCTTATTCTGATATTTTGTTAGTTACTTTCAAATTAATTATATATTTCGATAAAATTTAATCTCATTTTATTATTGTGTTTTCAGAGAGATTCAATATGTAAATTAACAACTTTATGAAAAGAAAAAGAAATTGAAAATCTAACTTTGTATCACTACAGGTATTTCACAGAGAGCTTGTTGTTGTTTTTAATCTGTCAGTGTTCACTAATGTTGATCAGCAATGCACCAGTGGTTTGGAGTGAAATTTAACCATTGTTATGGACTTCTTCAGACATATTGAGATATTTCATTAAATAATAAACACCCATAAGTGGCAATGATGTTTTTTAAAGATGTACATAGTTACACAATATGAAGTATCTTGAAATGTATACAGTTTTATGAGTGGTTTTTATAGTTAACTTCATTTATTAAATACATTTTGTTTTTTTGATATTTACAGGTGCTTGGAAAAGGAAATCTACAAATATCCTTACTTCTAAATCAGAACATTGAAAAACATGCTGAAACATTAGAATATTTTACTATCTCCTTGAACTATTGTTTTGGCGAAAGATAGCAACAAAAAACCTTAGATTTAGCAAGAAATTTATTTTTGTTTGATCAAGCCATGTTTAATATTGTTAAAATTCTGCATAGTATTTGTGCACGTCATCAAAACATAAGATAGTAAATGCTTAAGTCAGTCATTTGAAAAAGAATGATAATTCACATGAGATGCCTGTCTTTATAATTTAATAATCAAAATTAAGTTTAAAACAGCCTATTTTGTGACCTCTTACAAAAGATACATAATTTATAAAAATGGGAAGATATACTGGGAAAAAATGCCGCCTTATTAGCATGTTCAGCCTCACTGCAAACTTTTTTCTGGTGGAAATTGTTGTTGGTTATGTTACCAATTCTATGGCTCTAGTGGCTGATTCCTTTCACATGCTATCTGATGTAATAGCCCTAGTCATCGCTTTTCTCTCTGTTAAGGTAAGCCAATCTACTTGAATATTCTTGATTAATTAATACTGTCATGTAAGATAACTACAATTTATTGTAATTGTTTGTACTATGTATTCCATCCAGGATATGGTACATAAACCTTTTCATAGATGCCAAAGTTGTGACTAATCATTTGTTTATCTCTGTTTATAAAAAGATAAAATAAAGTGGTTATATATATATATATATCAATACTATGATTTTAAACCTTAAAAACCAACAAAGCAAAGGAACCATTTGGCTTAATAATGGTGATTAAAACCACACTAGGATATAGATGTTTTGTTTTTGTAGTTATTCATAACAAGTTCATTACAGATTTGAAAGCAGACTGTTACAGCATGTAAAATAGCATTTTTAATAGATCCTTATCTGCAAATGTGCCCAACTGATGAGTGCTGGTATTGAATGAAAAGTCTCTTGGGCACAAAAATTGATTTGAAATGCTAATTTTACATGCTTTTAATTTAAAATCATAAGGAACTATAGGGCTCAAAATTAGTGGGGGCCCAGGAGTCTGTGGGCCCCTAGGTAACCCGCGTGACCCCTTAAAATCAAAAGTCATTAATAGCTTGACTCCACATAAATTGATCTGATCATTTCTTAACCAAGCATAACTTATGACAAATCATGAATGGACCTTCCCAAATTTACGTACACTTGTCAGTCATGTACAGTTCACAAATATGACCACTATGAATGCCTGTGCAACGAATGTTTAGCTAAAATACGTGTGCTAGCTTCACTGATGTACAGTGTATTCAGCATGTATAGCCTATCATGCCTAACAAGAGGTGTGTGTACATATAAACTTTCTTGCTGGGTATTTTGGTTTGAAAACCTTTAGCTAGGTCCTGAAAGGTAACCAGGGGTGGTCAGAAACTGTAATTCACCCCGCTCGCGAAAACTTTAGTTGAACAACTAACAAGGCTGCAAAGAAAATAAGTTTTAAGATTTTTGAGCACTTTGAGGAAATAATTTGGAGCTTAATATTGTTGAAGCATGAAAGATTGATTCACAAGCATGGTTGATGAATAAGGTAAACAAGGAGAGCTGACACCTCGTAATAAACGTCAGGGATAAACCAAGAAGTGGGGAGTTGGAGACAGAAAAGAAGAAGTTTGTTGAAAGAAAAAGAAGTTGATACTGAAACTGAAGAAGACTTCTTGCTGTATATGAAGGCTTCAATATAAAAGGTGGCTGTTGATGAAGATGAAGCAGGTGTGAAGATTGAAGGAACAAAGACTGTACCAAGGATACCCAGTTCAAAGTTGACACAAATTGTATAAATAAGAGTGATAATTAGGGTCTGAAGTGATTGATTAATTAATTCTTGATAGGGGATGAATACATTTAAAACTAGCGAAGATAGTAACTGTGAAATTTGCTTCAATTTATTAAAATTGATGGCAAAAAATTAAATAGCTTTGGTTGAATTAATAGATAAAAATGTAATGTAAATTTTGAATATAGAATATGAGGTGGAGTGGTCCTTCTTAGAGTGGAGATCTTAAGATCCAATGAAAATATTTTTGCTGTGGGGAAAAAATGGAAGTACCCTAAGTACTTTCACTGATCAGGCACTGAATATTATACCTGTTCAGTGCCTGAATTGTTAAGGTTTAACTAGAGGTTGCAAAGCTTTTCCTGCTTTTATTTATTTTTTTTAAAAAAAAGGCTATATAGTTTGGGATTTGGATGGGTTGAGGGCTACATGGCACTTGTTGCACCAATCTGATACTGCATTGAGTAGTATTTGGACCTTAAATGTCGCATATTGAGAAGCAAGTCTATGGTTTAAGGAAGGGAACAGGATATCATTGACGCAGATGTTGTATGATGTTGAGCTTAACATTTATTTAAATACATACATAGAAAACTGTTTGGTAATGGGATTTCAAGACTGTCAAAATGCAAGAGAGTTAGGAGAAATGTTTCTTTATCTGTAACAACAGTGATTTTTATGTCAATAAACATACATTTGAAATGAAATATTTTTTTAGTTATATGGTATGGCTGTGACAGCTTAGTGAGTTTTGTAGAATGATCATGAGTGCAGCAGGAACTTTTGTTGATTTTTCTTTATGGCATTGCTTCAATATCATTTTAAGTGGTAACATTAAATTAAAAGCCTTGTTATCTGTTCATAAGAATACTTGATAACTGAATGTGGGTCAGTAGAAGTTCAGTCCTTAAATATCAGTAATTTGTTTATCTCACCTTATGGCATCAGAGACTTTTATTATTTTTAATGTATTTTGTAGTTGTTATTAAGTTTAGAAATCTAAAGTTTCTCAAATTCTATTTATTTTTAATATTCTTGTTGAACCATTAAAGCAATATATTTTGAAGTTTTTATATAAATTTCAAAATTGTATATTAAGTAATGGGAAACTATATCTTACTCAACCCACTCCATTGGCTACAACTCAACTAATCTTCTAAAAATTCCTTTTTTAGTCTTTGAACATCTTAATGTAGTTGTGTAGTTTGAAAATACTTTTTTTCATTTGTAATTGACAAAGGGTAGTTTCCACCTCCTATGCTTTAACTTTTAAACTCTCAGTTTGATATAAATTTCAAATTTACTAGAAAGTCATTATATATTGAAAAAGGAATGACTTTGTAGTAGAGTTTTTTTGTTGTTTTTTTTCAAGAGTTGGCCTTGAAACTCAAAATTGAAATTGCAAGTCACCTTTTATGAAGTGGTTAAAACTTGTGCACTACACATATTTAAATGCCGGGTAAAATCATAATTTCTCAGTTATGCATTATAAAGTAAAAGTGATACGTTCTGTGGTAGGAAAAAGACATGTATTTTTTTGTCAATTTATTATTTTTACCTCTTCACTTCAATTAAGTCAGTGGAATATTTTCTTTCTTCCCCAGTCTCTTTCATTCAGTCTTTTCTTCTTTTTGTGTCTGAATTTTGTTTAGATTTGTCTGATTTTCTATCAAGAGATATAGAGTATTATTTTGCTAGGTATTCATATTATTTTTCATTAAGAATGTCTTTAAAGCATTAATTAATTAAAACTGTACATGTAATTTCTATGTGTACATGTTCTTATTTTTAGTTTTTTCCTGACTAAATGATTTGGTTAAATATCTTTGTTTGTTTTTTTTACTTTAATGCCTGGCACTTTATTCTACATAGACTTTGTACTTGTAAGTAGTTTTAATTTTTCACATTTTAATCCATTAGTTTGCATCATTAATACAAATATTATTAATTATTATTGTGTATAGCAGGGTATTTACATGCATTAACTTGTATACATCACTTCTTTCTTTCTTTTTTATAACCAAACCATTCATGTTAAGAGTGTAAAATACCTGTAATTCATTAAAATACCAAGCTGGTAATAACTGTGAGTGAAGTTGTCCTGTTCTTTCTCACTCACAATGAACCAGACCTACTCCTAAAATAATCATTGAAGATTTTAGTTCTTTACTCTTAACATACACAACCTACAATTATTCCAGAAAGTGGTGGTTAATTATGCTCAGTAATTTATATTTTGGACATTAATGTATGTATTTATATGATTTATAATAGAAATAAGCTGAGGTTAGTCTGTATAAATAGCTTTGATTTCGAAAGCTCCTACAAATTAGTTATTTATACATGTGCTCATACAAAAAATAGGTTTGTCAGTTTTTTTTCTATATGCTTGATCTATATTAATTTTATTTTAATAAAAACTTTAAAATTTAATGGCTGGTGTTATAAGCATACATTTGTAATTGTAAGTGCTAATGGTACTGTATGACTTGAAAAAAGGTTTATCATTGTGTTGCTTAGTTTAGTGAATATTACAGCATCCTTACAGTATACTTGAGGATCTTTTTTTACTTCTGTAGTTTCTGCAATTATCCAGGATAAATGTTATTCTTTTATTTTGACTATAGGCATACACATTAGTACATGTTATTAGTGAAGGGAGGGACTGTTTCTATGTACAGGTATATCATCTCAGTGTATATGCATTACTTGAGCATGATATGATCAAAGTTGAAAGTAATGTAAATACAGACAATCTTTATCTATGCTTTTGAAATCACTGCACTTATATACATTGTGTGTTTGAAAGAGAACATCTCCCTCTCAGAATCACTAACTTGCTTTTAAGGTCCACATTAATAACAAAAGACAACATATAGCAAAAGAAGCTAAAACAACTATTATAATTCTAATTATATTAATAAATATTAGTATTCAGGTAATAATAAAATTATAATTGTGATTTTGATTTAAAAGTGGTTTAGGCAAAGTAAGAGTATTGTTAACCTCAGTTGATAGAACAAAATATTATCTTTCCTTTAGACTGTACAGAAGCAGGTCATATATTCAGATATACTGCTGGTACTGTTAACTGAAGTGTATTGGTATTGATCTATGGATTCAGAATGTCTTTAACCTTTTTTTAAAATAAAAAGGTTTCTCTATAATAATTATGATTATTGTATAAGAATTTATACTAGAAGTTTGAAAACCATACGAGGCAGAGTTTGTGATCATGCATAAACTTGGCCAAAAAAAGTGTATTCAAGTAAAACTCATGACATTTTTAAGTACATTTTAATAAATGCTTTTGTATTTTTTACTAAAAGTACCAGCTTTATGATACAACCCTTTGTATAATATTTTAGTTAAAAACAGTTAATATTTTAGTTTCATATTTTTCATTATCAATCTAATATATTTTTTATTTTCTATGACTACTATTAATGACGATATTCAAAGAAATTTTAGTACTCTGTAATTATGCATTTTTTTATTGCAAGCATCTTATTCAGTTCTGTTTTTCCAAACTTCTATTGGAAATTTTGTAAACTAGACATAAGATAACCTTGAAAACATTCATAACTGGTTTGACAAGAAGATGAACTGTTAAAATATGCCAAACCTGTCTTTTGAATGTTAGAAATAAACATTTTGTTCTTAATGATCATTAACCACAAGTTTTTTTGTAAAGAAGGTTCTTTCAATGCCAAATCACATGTACATTTTTATCAGCAAGTCCATTTTAAGTTAGGTATGGTTCATATTTTGCTGATCATAATGATCCAAGGCAAACTAAAATACTACAACAACTAATCAGTTTTACTTCTCAGTTGTCAATGATATAAATTTTTAGTTTGTACATTCTTATATAAAATGTCTTGAAGTTACAGAACAGATGTTGACTTCAAATTCAATTATTCTAGACAGTTAGGACATTTACTTCTATTTTACACATTGGATGTGTGAGTGAGTACATGCATCTGTATTGCATAGGAAAAACTACTTTCATTTTACATGTAATCTGTAATAATGTTATGTTTTACCACATTGTTTTGCCTTCAAGTTGTTTTCTTCTTGGCCTATCTTGCATTATATCTCCAATTTTTCCATTTGCTATCTATTAATCCCCTACTGTTTCAAGAGTTCAATCATATTTTCTTTTCTTTTTCAGTTTTATTTTTATTATCTCTAGATTCCTGTATTGGTTCTTTCTCAGAGTTCATATGCGTTATTTAAAGCAGCAAGCCCTCACCTAAGGTTTTTGGGGTGTAAAAAATGTTAACGTCCCTTATGTAGATAAGCTTTAAATAATTTAAACATAATATTTATTCAAGTTTATTAGAACCTAAATTATTTTTAAGGTTTCCTTTCCATAATAAAGTTGCTTACTTTTAAAATATCCTTCACAAATTTGAAAATTGTGACTGTATGTGTGTGTGTGTATGTGGCTTGTCTTGGGAAACTAGTCCTTCCTTGTTATCTATAGATCCCCACCCATTGGGTTTGTCTACATCCTGGTCACTAGCCAGTTAGTTAATTGATCCTCAAATTTAATCTATTAAACCTCAGTTTTCAAGAGAAGCATACTATCAAGTCATCTTTGTTTTTCTGAGTTTTGTTTGCATGCCTTTTCAGTACAACCTTTTACCTTCTTTTTTGGCTCAAAAGAAAGAAAGAAAATGGGGACATTCTGAACTTCTGATTGGTTATTCATGTTAATATATAGAAGTAAGTGTATATAAGGGAGCATTTCCAAAAATGGAAAGAGGTGGGTGGGGTGCCACTATGTTTGATTTATTACATGAGCAATAACTTAGCAAATTGAAAAGATAAGATAAGAGATTATAGTCTAGCTGTCAAAATACATAATTTCAATTTCTAAATTGTACAAAACTAAATATTTAGTATTTTGACTTCACATACATCTAATTTGAACCAGTGCTGCATTCAACATACCATGTGACCCACAAAAATTGATGTTTGTCTGTTTTTTGATATTTGCTTTTAAATTAAGAAATTGAGCAATATGTAACTAAAATTTGAATTATAATCTACAGTTTGATACCAAACTTACTGACATAAGTTCGTGAAATAGTAGTTCAGTAAAATTTTGAATGCGAGTCAACAAACGAGATGACATGGCCTTTCACCCATGACCCATCTTGAAAGGGTTAAAATATTTTTATGTATATGTGTGTAATATAGTATAAATCTTTGTTTCAATTGCTCCTACAAAATAGTATATTTTGTTATTGTTTATTCTGAATGAAATCAAGTCACATAAATCAAATATACATGAACCATATTACTCAAATATAATGTTTGATAGATACTTTACTTCAAGTGTGATTTTTGACTAATTTTACATTCAAGTTGCATCATCAGTTAAAATACAATTAAACATGGGTACGATTTATTTTGCTTAGATATTAGATCTTCCCTAGTTCTGGATATTTCTAGGCTAGCATACATTGCTTATTCATGATAATTAAACATTAGTATTTAATCATTGTTTTTTTCATTTATTTAAAATAACAGCTGTCATTTTCTTATTTGTATATGCTATTATTATTGGATATTACTAATATGCAAATTTAGTTAATACCTGTTTACATACTGAAATACATCTTGACAGCCATACATCACATTAAATTGCCCACAGGACAGGATATTTGTATTAAAGTACATTTTACAAATGAATTTCCAACCTAATTGTAGGATCTATATAGAAAAAAAAAATTATTTGCTTTTCATGTTATACATGTTTCTTTATGCATGTACATGTACACATCTTTTAAATAATAATAAAAAACATTTGAAATAGAATTTGAAATGATTCTTTTTATAATGAGAACAAACACTTTTTAAATAACTAATTTAAAAAAAATTTTCATTTACATAATTTACTCATTTTTACCAAATTAAGCTTATTTAGAATATATATGTGGTGAAAGTAATTTTTATGTATATGCATAAAATGTATCTGAGTTGGTGGTTTCCAAACTTTTTTTGCTGATGACACCCTAACCCAATTACTTTGATCTATACGACACTCCTGCTGCCACGTGCAATATTTTTTGTGGAGTTTTTTTTATGCTCTTAATTATATTTCGTTTGGTAAAACTCGCAATACCCCTAACAACTTGCTGTGATACATTAGTGTGTCATGATACACAATTTGGAAACCACTGATCTGAGTGTTTCAAATTAAGTACATAGGAATAAAAGTGATTATAAGCATACCCATAATTTTGAATGATAGTGTAGTAAAAATTTTAATTTTATTTCCTTTTTTTTCTTTTTTTTTAATATTGATATAGATGTCTCCAAAGAAATGGTCAAAGAATACATTTGGATGGGCAAGAGCAGAGGTTTTAGGAGCACTTGTGAATGCTGTTTTCCTAGTTGCCTTGTGCTTTTCAATTTTAGTGGAATCTTTGAAACGATTTTATGAACCAGAAGAGATCCATGATCCCTTGTTAATTTTATATGTTGGTGTCTCAGGGCTACTTGTGAATGTTATTGGATTATTCCTTTTCCATCGTAAGTTGAAATTAATTATTTTGTAACCAACTTCATCATATATATTGTTTATGCAAAGTTAGTGAGAAACTAATTAAACTAACTTATTTAAAATAATATGGATTTTATTATAATTTAAAATACAGCTCCTAACCATTTCTCTTAATTTGCTCCTTTCATGTTGTTTGTCGCAAATGGTGGGCCTGTTAGTTTTCATTGTTTCTCCAGCTTTCAGCATTGAACTTATAACTACGTATTTTATAATAATCTCATAACTTTGTGCCATTAATTAGAATAAGTTTTTGAGTTTTCAGTGTAATGGTTATCATAAGATAGCTATTGCCCACTTTTAATACTTGCACGCGTACAGTGTAAAAACTTTATTTGCAAGTTTTTTCTCTGCAAAATTAAGAAACTACCTGTATTTACTGTGAAAGAAACAAATCTTTAACATTTTTGCACATGTATTCTAAACTTTAAGCTTGCATTCAGCTTTTGCACATTTTTGAGAATATTTGTAGAAAAAGGCACAATTTTCAGTTCCCATTTTTGAAGTATTATTTTATACTGATCTTGTTGTGCAATATACATATGACAAAATTAACAGTAGTGATTGTATGTAAGAAAATGGTCAGAAAAAGTTTAAAATGTTTTTGTTAATATATGCATATATTTGCACATCTTATTTTAAAAATGTTCTACATAAATAGAATCGAGAACTCTTACTGTACACCTGCTAAGTCTATAATAAATGTAAATTAATAACTGTTTATTACTTACAATGAGAGATATTTTAGCCAAGGAGATTAAGTTCAGTGCCACATATATTACTGTTTGTTTGTATTTGTGATAATTAAAATTTGGGTAAAGCTACTATTCTTACCATATCATATAATCTTTGAATTTGTTAAACGATTGGGTTTACAGGCATTTATCAGAAGCACCACTTTTTTTTTATCATAGGTTCCAAATCATTAAAGCTATATCATCATCCAAAAACTTTGTTTTTTTATTTGAGAGGGAGGAGTTATGAAAAGCTCTACATATACAGTGAACCCTCATTTGTCTGGATATCAAGATGATTTTTCTTATAGACAAATCTTCACAAAGAGAAATGTATTCAATCTGTATATTCATATTTCTATAATCTGTACATGACTACACAAGCTAAGTAGGAGTCTTTCAGAACAGGAAACTTGGTAATAATTACTGACCATAGAACACCTATACTAACCAATGGGTACTATATTAAGAACAGTTTTTCTGAGAATGACCTTCATAATAAGGAGGTACTTTCAAGAGTTATAGTATGTATACCTTTATAAGTTACTTACATGGTGATTACTAGGTCGTGTAAAATACATGAGCCCATTGCGAAAGAATGAATACTGTCCATTGTATTCAGAGTGATTGATTCAACCATCCAGATGCCTCAATAATCTGGGCAAGTTAATTTGTTACAAATTCATTTGGATTTTAAGGTTTCACTGTATGCTGTACTTACATGATAACATAGAATTAATCTAAGTAGATGAGGCACAGTGCATCATGTGATCCTCATTGTTCTAAAACCCTAAGTAACTTTTTTTTGCAGTGTATCTGTTTAAGAGAAAGCTTAGTGTTTTTTTAATTTTTTTTATAATCACTAACCTAGTTTGTTTGAAAGTTTTATAAATCACAAACCAAGTTAATTTAAGTAAATGTTTTGCTTTATTAGGTGCATTTGTATGTTAAGTTATCATATGCTTGTGCTTGTACAATCTTGAGTATGATATGTAAAGAAGATAACATTATATAAATAGTACTTGTGTCTTTTTATTTATTTGAGTGATGAGAAATTTTCATAGTCATTTTGTCTTTCCAATATTAGTATTGTTAATCTTTTTCTAGCTAAACAAAATATAATGAAGTGGTTTTCATACAGGATATACGTGTATTGGCATTACTGAAGCAAAATTTTTTTTGCTGTAGATCATGGCCATGGACATAGTCATAGTCGAGGACATCACCATAGTCTTCCAACAATAGAAGAAGTTATGGCAGAAGAAGACATCAATGATAATCATGGCAACTACAGATTTCCTTCTCATTCTCCATCTAGCTTACATCATGATCAAGACAATAAGAAGTCAAATATCCGTAAGTGGTGAAGATAGTTTTACATAGATGTGTGTTTCCAAACCATAGTTGATCAGTAAATAACGTACTTTTACATTTTTTAGTAGATTCAGAAGTTAAATAAGTTACATTGAGGAATGCATGCATGATTAAATGTTATCACAAAAAATTGTGCATCAGTCGACCTTTAAGAAAACTACATATCTGTGATGCAGTTAAACAGGGGCTTACTTGTTTAAACAAATGAAGAAAGAACCAAGAAGAAATATCATTTCATTATCATTCACTTAAACTATTATTGTAATTTTCATTTGTGTTTTTACTTAAACTGTAAGTTGTTTTTCAGATATCCTTAACTTCTAAAAGTGTAACAGAGTAGTGTCAAAGTAATAAATACATATTACATAGTCTCACAAAAGAAAACATTATTCCAAACATAGTAATTAATTCAAAAACATGGCGCTTCAGTATATTGGAGTTTTACAATATAAATGGAATATTTTTTTTCTTAGTTTTATATTAAAATCTCTCCAAAATTGTGTTCAATCATCTTTTTAATATTGTTATTATATATTTATCAACTATTATTATAAACACATGATTCTGATGTTACTGCAACTGTTTTTTTTTTGTTATTATTTATTTATTTTTATCATAAACTTATAATCATGATGTTACTGCAACTTATAAAGAAATATTAACAATTGATATCTTCCAGCCAGCAGCAGCCAAATGAACATGAGGGGAGTGTTTCTTCACGTCTTAGCTGATGCTTTAGGATCAGTTATTGTTATTATTAGTGCTCTAATAATGTGGTTAACCTCGTGGGAATATCGATTTTATGTAGACCCTGGCTTGAGGTAAAATGGTATACATTTCTTCATTTTTCTCTACAATAAAATTGAAATTTTTTTTAACTTGCATACAAGTCAATTAAACCATTTATTGTTTTTGATGAAAAATTTGGTTTTCAAGATTAATTTTATTATATTTACCATTATTCATTTAAGGCACTAAGCTTTTCTTCCTTGTAGAAAATAAGTTTTTCATAAATAATGCAGTTAGTGCAGGTAATGTTAATTTTCACCCCCATGTTTCTTACAGTGTGGTGATGGTTTGCCTAATAATGAGATCTACCTGGCCTCTGTGTAAGTTAAGTCTCTTGGTAACATTTTTTATCTCAGTATTTCCCTATTCTTCTCATTTTATACTTCTTTATTGATTCTAAATTATGCAAGGGATTAAAATATTGACAATAAACTTAACTAGAAATGAACTTGAATTTTCTATAAGGGTTCTGTTTAATTTAACCTTAACCAGCTCAATTCTGTAGAATTTATTAAATTTTTTAAATGATGTAGACATTCTTTGTAAGGCATATATAAGCAGCATGAATTTTTTTTTCGAAGTAAGAATCTTTTGCAACTAAGATCCCAGTAAAGCTTGTCACTGTTGAAATAATTTCGAGGTGCATCAGTAATAAATCATGTCTGTACTAATTAACCTTAACTATGCTTTCAAGAATAAAATCCTGGAATAAATACATATGTATGAGGTATTAAAATACATGCACTCCAGCAATACAGTACCTGTACATTGTAGTTTATATACATATATACACAAAAAGGCAAAGAAATCTGAAATGAAGTTCTATGACTTGAAGAATATCACTGTTTTTTGTGTTTTTTTTTACTTATGCAGTGGTGGAATCAGCCCTGATTTTACTTCAGACAGTTCCAACACATATACAGGTAGATTATCTTCAAAAGAAGTTGCTACAAGAGGTTAGTATAAGCATTTTTCTGATGTTGCTGTCTCCCTTAGTGTATGTGTGTTAATTAATATGAAAGATGGCATTTAAACAGTAGATCATTAGGTTTTGCTGTAAGGTACTTGATGCCTATTTGTTCTTACTTTTAAAAACTGAAAAATTTCATTAAATCACATTAATTCAAGAAAGCAATAAAAATTTATTCTTTGGGAGTTTTACAAGATGCCATTTGTGAAAGGGGTGTTAAGTCTGTTGTGAAGGTTAAATGAGTAACAAGAATAATTTTTCAATTATTCTTTATAACATCTGTGATCATTTATGTTATTGAACAGATATTTATAAAAAAAATATACTTAATACTGAGCAAAATTGAATGAGACTATTAACTTGGTCATAATACGATAAGAACTAGTAACAAAGTTAATGAACAAAACTAGCACTTATTTATACCACAGCTTTAAAATGCATAAATGAAATGCTGCAATTTGAACAAATGTTTTAAGTGTACTTAGGATTCCAACTGTGAATTTTTTTTTAGTTGACTAAAATTAGTAAAATTTGTTTGACTTGGAAACTTGATTAGATTCTAGCTTTTAATTGATCAAATATTGTTAACTTTGAATTGTGAAAGTGGTAGTCACAATAAAAACTTGGCAAAATATTTTCCTAGCTTTTGTAACTTCAAATTTGATTATAGTCAGCATATTATTTATACTGCTTTTGTTTCTAACTAGATGTGTAGGACTGAAAATGTGAAACTTAATGTTTAGTATTTTTAATTGCATTCCAGTAACATCAGTGTATTTGCCATAGTTATTTCATCAGGTTGAGTTGGTTCTTCAATGTCTAAAACAAAAGAATATTGAGAAAACTATTATAGAAAATTACAGGATAAAGTAGTTTGAAACTTAAGAGTTATTTTAAGTAGATTATGTAACTTCTGCAAATAAAATATCATATTTTTATGAGCTTTCAACTTTGAAATTTTGAAAAGATTTCATTGTGATATGTTCTTTTAAAAAACAATTAAAAATGCTTATCTTTGTTGTGTATTTTAATTACTGATATGTCATTCTGTATTCTTTTAAAACTTTTATATAAAGTTTTTATTTTATAAATATCTAAATCTTATATTTGTTTTGATTCTAAAAACAGTGCAAACAGTTTACTGTGTTTATAGTTACTGTTGTGCAGTAAATAACTTTTTACCATACCAAAATTATAAGCAAGACAACTTTGTTTTTGAATTTTTTAATCAGGAGGTTTCATTTAATGTGCATAATAAGTTTTAAACCCACCTCATTTATATATATATTTTACATTTTTCTTTTGATGGTTTTCTTTGCCATTTAAGTGGTTAGGCTGATAAAACCTAATGCAAACAAGGCTTAACTCAGTGGTCTTTTTGTTACTAAAATGAAGCATTTAATGATTTAACTAAGCCCTTTTCATTTTATTCCACAAAAAAACATTAATTTTCCCAGCATTCTTCAACATCATAATTTAAATGAAATATAAAATGATATAATATGCTTTCTGTAAACTCAAAAAAACAACAACATAAACACCTTTTCTTCTGGCAACATGTCACCAAGCTAAACTTTTTATCATTGTTCCAGTCTCTAAGAGAATCATTTGAACTGAAAAACCTTTGTAACTTTTTTACAATAGAATAGAAAAATAGAAAAAGAATTTCATGAAGTGTTTGGAGCAGTAGCCTTTGAGTTTATGAATTACATCACACCGAAACAACTAAAATTGACAAATAGTGATTTGCTAAAAATTTATAAAACTACACTTTTACTGAAGTCATATGAACAAATTAGTGCTGTTTTATTCAAAACTATTTTGTCTTTCTTCCTAGGGGGCTATGAGTGCCATATTATGCTAAGAAAAAAAAAATTAGGAAAATCTCATCTGCTAGTAATTTCATTGAGAATATGCTAAATCAACCCAAAATCAAAATATGCAATTTTAAAAATTTGTATGTATAAAATGAAATAAATATTTTTTTATTGAATAAATCTCAATGCTAAAGTTTCATTTTGCCTTTATATATGTGGGAAAATAATTAAAGTTTATTTTTCTATTATTTCTTTAAGTTCAGTGGTGCAGTTTTACCCTTGAGATTGACCACACCCATCCAGACTTGAAAAAGTTAGAACAGTTTGAAGTAATATCTAGAGTTTGAGTCTAATGTATCTTAATGATTTTGGAACCTCACTGCATCATTACATTTGAAATATATCTGATGACCATCCATCTTGACAATAGTTGTACAGTGTAGTTTCCATTGCAAAAGACTCCATATTAAGGTTGTAATGTCCAAAGCACTCCTCTTCTACCTGCTTACTTTTCATAATCTATCTAGTGTATGAAGACGACATTTTCCCAACACCTGTTTTAACATTTTGATCTTGGAAATCCATAGGGACTACATCCTGTAACTTAACAGGTATTTCTTTTTATAGAATAGCATGAATACACACTTCATTCTCCAGCTGCTTGAGATATGCAATGATTGAATTGATATTTCATGGTAATAACTTTGTCACTTTTCCAGACAGAGATCATGGCTGAAGTCAGACTTGTTTCACTTCTTTTTCTGGATGGTCCTGAAGTTTATTCATATTCCATTGCTTTCAAATGCCATTAAATATAAGGAATATCCTCATTTAGGAAATTCTAAGCTCCTTCTCTGAATGCATCTTTGTGGTCTGAGTGTATAAGTATTTTGTATCCAAAAGGGCTGGTACATACCTTTCCAAAAAGTGATCAGTTTTTGATGACATCACACTACCTACAAAATACCAAACAATGTCAAAATGTAATTCTGATATATTGTATTCTGCCACAACTGTTTGTGATAGTCATGTGACTTTTTAGTTTGCATATTCAAAATTGTTTTAATCCCAGTAGTAATTGTAATGCCACTCTTGACCATACATTGCTAAAAATTAACTCGCACAAGTCACCATATTTGAAACAGACATATGTGACCTGATAGCTATGGCACCTTTTAAAATATATATATATATATATATATATATATATATATATGGTATTTTGGTTAATTTATTAATTATAATACAATAAAAACCCTAATGACTATTTACTAAGCCACAATGCATGACCTATGTAACAGTTAACTTGAAAGCCAGTTTTCATGCATGTACCATAGTAGGCCTAGTGACATCATATGCTAGGCCCCTTGGTTGAAAGAAATGGTGTAAATAATTAGGTACTAATACTAATATAAATAGACAGTGTTTATCTCACTATATAAATGAAACTTACCTATGTCGTTCTTTTATTAAATTAGATAATGTATGTTAAAAAAATATATTGCATTTTTACCTTTGCCTGAGGGCAAAAGACAATACTGAGCTTGAAACATGGCTTTGAAGTTTCAAAACTTATGGGTTTGTGTAAAAAAGAAAATTAACTGCCAAGACTATTCTTCATTAAAATGAACAAAGAGTAAAAGTCATTAAGTTAATTTATTACCTTTCCATGCCTTATAAAAATAGAAAACCATTAATAACACAGGCCTGTGAACTTAAACTTCATAAAAGTTGTTTTGGTTTTAATAAGAAATTTTCCATAATTCAGCTATGCAGATTTCGAAAGTAATGTTAATTATTTTTTCTATCGCGTAAGGATATTGTACAAATTGGGAAGAATTTTACTTAGATCAAATTATTATTTTGTTTAATGTAATGAAAATTTTTTATTATTATGTTTGTTAACAAAAATACAAACAAATTGAAGAAAAGTGAAGAACTTAGATGTCAAACAAATACATGTATGCATCCTCATTCATCCTGATTTGTTTTTTGTGAAATCTACATTTTTTAATCTCAAAACTACATGTTGTGGTCTTTCTTTTATGTATTGCATTATGACATTTTGTGAAAAATTTGTACGTGATAAAATGGATATCATTATTGGATTTAGTGTATGGGAATTACTTTAGAACACTTAAAAGTTTCAAGACAATAAAACCATTGCAGGGCATGTGTAATTGACAAGGCAACTTGAAATATAATAAGACATTTTGCCTTTTTAAATTTTTGTGTATCTATACGAGGAAGTAATGGAGCTCTGCAACAAATAGATTGCGAGAAATAAAATTTCAGGTTTCAGATGGTATAATTACACTTTTATCAGATTTAAAAACTTAAATTTTGCAGTTCTTGGTATCTCCAACTTCAAAAATATATGCTGTTTTCAAACTATATGAGCAAAAAAGTAAACCTCAAATGAATGCATAGTTACCAGATTTGCAGTTTAGTTTCATCCATTGACGAGTTGTATCTGCACAGACAGGAAATTTAACGACTTGTACCATCTCAGTAATAATTACAATAGGAGAAAATATCGAAAATTAGGGCTAGCAGTTTTGACTTGTTATTTATTTATTTCCTATCTTCTTCATCCAAATAAGTAATAAAACTTGCAACTAAAGAATATTTAATATCTGGACATTTCAGTTATAATTTCATTTTGGAGACAGTATGAGGAGATACATCACTAATAATTTTCAAGTTGTGATGTAGTTTTGTCCCTATGTATGCCTAAAATAAGAGGCTGGAAAGGGTTAATATAAGGTACTCAACCCTCTGTATTTGTTCAAGGAATTGAAATAGTTTTTTAAAAATAAGTGACTTGAACTGTAACTAAGTTGGCTACAGAGAATGATCTGTAAGTAACAAGAGGAGCATTAATTACGAGGATTAATAATGCATATGTTTTTTTTTGTTTCAGTGTGTTGCATTGTTTTAGATTGAAATATAAATTACTAAAATCTTAAAAACGTTTGTGGCTGAGATTAATTTATATCTAATAAATGTAGTTTGTTTTCAGTATATAGTAACTTATTATACCTGTGTGCTCTATTTGAATACAATAAATCTAACAATAATATTCAACAGATAAGAATTTGAGTCATCTGAAAGTTTTACTACTGCTTATCATATTTGCTAAATAAGTTGACTTGATTTTTGTCATAGAAGAAAATTTCTGTATCTTTCAAACAGATATAACTTAGCATAGTAGCCATTTTAAAAAATCCCCAGGTCTTTGGTTTGTTTCCAAGTGTTGTAAGCTTCCCATCAGATTCATTTGCTCATTCCTGCAGGAACTCTGGACAGCCAGTATCTCAAGAGCCACAAATTACTACTAAAACCACTATTTACTGTTCACTAAAGTAGTTACATTATACTTTCTATCTAAGATTGTTTAGCATTAGCCCTAGCTATTTTCAAAGCTGAGCTTTATTAAAATTTATTAGACAGAATGCTGCAAAATCATGAAAGGGGTGGCAATGAAGGGTTGTTCTAATAAAGCCGTTAACAGAAAAAGAAAATCGTGTGAAAAATAAAACATGAAGTATTATATTTTTGAGGGATGATAGTTTGTTTTTTATAACAATATAAATCTATACTTTTGGATGGGTTTAAAAATTTATGAATAAGTTGTTTATAGGCAAGACTCTGGAGCTATGCTAAAATGAGAAATGGAACTTTTTCTTTGCAAATTACATTAAAATGGATGTTAATGGCAAAATATTGACTCTAACATGTTTTTGAGTTCAAAATTGTGGATATAAAGAGTTAAAATTATTACTTCAATTTTGAGATTTAAATACTATTGAGCCTTATATATCTGAAAGGTGCTTACTAGTCAGGATAGGGTTTTTTTCTTTCTCTCTTTTGGATAATTATGAAATTGTATATTTCAGAAGTGTATGCACATGTACTGCATATGTGCTTTTATTGCAAAATACATAGTCCTAAAATATGTACTAATAATAATTTTTAAGATGGTTATTTGCACAATATAGTTAATTTAAGGTAAAAGTTTATTCTTATCTGTATTTAGTTATTTTATATTTCAGTACATTCGGTGTAATACCCAAAAAAAAGTGTTTCATTAAATTTCTAGTGGGGCTATGGTTTTGGATGACTTACCGTAGGTTTAAAATTTTCACTGACTTCCACACTGTGGCAGCAGTGTTTATTCCTTGGGTAGAACATAGTGGTGAATTTATGTTGCAGTTTTGCTGCATAACTTCAAAGCCATTGAAACAGGTGACTTAGGATATCACAATATAATCTTGTTTTGCTACAAAGTAAACTAAAAATCACATTTTCAGGCCTACTGCTTTCAGTTACAAAACTTATTTTCAGACCTGTATATGCAGTTCACATATTACAGGCATGCAATATTCAAAACTTGTACATTCACACCTGCAGAAATAAAGCACTAAATATTGGAGAAGCCTCTAGACTTATCCCAAACCTTTTGACCTGGAACCCTCTCCAACAATTCAATATACTTTAAATAATGTGACCAAAATTGTCAAGGTATTTTAGACATAATTAATCTTGTACTATGACACTTGAAATGGTATGAGCTGGTGTGCAATATAATGTTTTGTTTGCCTGTAATGTAATTACTATTACTATAATCCTCATGTAAGCCTCGTCATTATAGAAAGAAGAAAAATTGCTTTGTATCAACAACATCCATGGTTTTTGTAAAAAATTCTATTAGTATTTAGATACATGTATACAAATGATTGGTGAAAAATTATTTCCTTACTCATTAAAAAGAAATATAAGGTGAAAAACTGATTTCATATAAATGTTGTTCAGCACTATATAATATATGTGATTATAGCTTCTAATGTTTTAATCATGGGTTTACCTTGTGGTTTACATATACAGCTATCAAAGCAGGTACACTTTATATCCAGTCTCCATCATTTAAATGAGAGTAATTTGAATTAACCATATAATTATTTTCCCTTACAAAAGTTTAGGACCTAATGTACACCTAATATCAGTATTAAATAGACAAGCATTAACCAGAGGAGATTTATATGCAATTATCTTTAATTTCGTATATATTGCAAACTGTGGTGTCTGTTCATTACAGTGTTCATCTCCTTTCGTTTGAAAACCTATGCATGCAGGCAAAGCTCAACATTCAGTTTTAAAATGATGGGAGACAGGCATGAATAATTTTGATGCCAAATTTTATTTTGCATACGGGATATTCTACACTAAATTGTTAGTAATTAATCACACTATCATTCACATTTCAAAATGTGACGTAACTTAAAAAATAAAAATGTAGATTTACCGTATGTTATTGTTGAGCGACACTTAGCATGACTGAAATGCTCAATAACTACTTTTCGCGGTGGGTGGTATGAGTAGCTCAGAGCTTTGCAAGAGTGCAGTACAATTAACCTGTTTAAAGTCCATAAAATAATTTAAATTGATAGATTAACTTAAAGGTTTCCCATCACTGGGGACGGGTCTTTTGGTTGTATGTAAAAAGTAAAATTATTTAAAACTGAAAAGATTTAAGAGAGGAAGTATTTTGAAAAATTAAACTTCATTAATTAATGATAAAACAAATTATTTTGTAATATACATGTTTTGTAGGCAAGTATTAGTGTAATTTCATGTTGATTTAAATTTTGAATATAAAGATTTCAAAATTTAGTAAACTATTACTGAAAGTATAAAGTGTTAGATTTTGCATTTTATTTTATAAATATTTTTTATTTCTCTATGGTTAGAACTTGTTATTAATGTCTTTGTTGTGCTTGCTGTACTATAAGAAAGCTAAATGACCATTACAATACAACTGATTAAAAAGGTGTATACACTTTGTATTGAATAGTAGTTTCTTACTATTTTATGAAATGTAGTGTAGTTTTTTGAGGTAGCATTGTTTATTTTCTTTTGTTGTGAGACATTCCCCAGGTAGAGGATTGTACATGAACATTTAAAATGCTGTAATTATTCTAGTACATAAATAAGTTTCATTTTCAGATTGATGGAGTTCTTGCAGTCCATGAATTTCATATCTGGCAACTAGCTGGAGACAGAATCATAGCATCGGCACATATTCGATGCAGAAACCTTTCTGAATATATGCAAATTGCTGAAAAAGTGAAGGAGTTCTTCCATAATGAAGGTATACATTCAACCACAATCCAGCCAGAGTTTGTTGAACTTGAAAGTGATGTAAGTTGAACTGAATTACTAGTAAATTTAAAGGCTTATAAAATATTTTATTTAACTTTGAATGAAAAGTTTTTTCATGAAGTGTATTGTATGATAACATAAATAAAAGATATAGCAAGTATTAACTTTTGACCTTCAAGAAACATATAAGTTCTGTCAATAGGTTTTTACATAAACTTTGTTTACAGCTTTTTCTTTTTGCTAGTGATGAGATAAATCTGTTTAAATTACTTGCAATTTTAAAATGTTATTACAGCCTGTAAATAGATGCTGATTAACCCTCTCACTATGAATAGCTTAAAGTATGCATATCCTGACATTTTATAGTTACTGTAACTTGCATTCAAAATTTAATTAAACTATCAATGTATACAACTAAACTTGGCATAAAAACATAGTTAGTAAATCAAATTTTTAATAAATGTTTGAATTTCTTAATTTTAAAAGGAAATATTGAAATAAATCCTCAATTTCCTCTTGTGTGAGAATCGTGACATTTGTTCTCTAGGTCTTTCCCTATCTCTAATTTGTTTACCACCCCTCTCTGAAGTATGTAGTTTAATGTAAATTACTCTTTGTAATATAGATATTACTAAGGCAAAGTCTCATTCACAGATCACCAATAATTCTCTCTGATGTTTTTCATTATATCATTTATATCATCATAATATAGATATTACTAAGGCAAAGTCTCATTCACAGATTACCAATAATTCTCTCTGATGTTTTTCATTATATCATTATAATATAGATATTACTAAGGCAAAGTCTCATTCACAGATTACCAATAATTCAGAAAAAGAAATTTTAATCTCAACACTGACTCCATATATTCATTGACAAATATTTAGTAAAAATGCTTAATTATAAAATCTGATTTTTTGTGTATAAAAGACTTGTAATGTTTATTGAAAGTTTGCCAAATTTTGTGAAGGTACACAAAACATATTAAAAGTTAAATTCTGTAAACTGTGATGACTACTTTGTGGTTAAAAGATCAATCATGTTGTCTGAACCCATCTGAAAAGATCCAATATATTATTGTGGACGATTTGTTTCTTGTGACTTAAAAACCACTTCGTAATACTTTGTTTTCCAATGATAGTGCTATAAACTTCTTGAATGCTATTAACTGAAGCACCATTAAATTAAAAATATATTATGTATACTTATAGTCATTCTTCTACACTACTGAGTTGATATATATTCCATAAAAAAGTTTTATTAATTTAATTTTAAACATAAAAGAAATTTTCAATTGTAAACTTTGATTTTTGGTGTTTGTAAATTTCATCATTTTTTTTTTTTTGAACATGAAACAGTACTCGTAGCCCATGTTGAATAAAATTGAAATAGTTCTGAAATAAATGGCACCAATTTGAAACTTTTAACATCAAAACAAGTGTAGTTTCACTGATTCTCTACCTTTGTTGTCATGGTGCTATGTAAATTACCTATATCTCAGCTTTGAAAAGTCATGGGGCTAGTGATAATGAAACTGGTGGGAGTTTTATATCTTTACATGGTTTTTAATTTTAATTGTTTTACAAGCAGTGAAAATATATTAGGGATATTACTTAATGTAAAGGTGTGTATTGGGAAGATTAAAGCATTTTTGTTTGTACTTTCATATCAGGCCATTAGATGATGAAAGTAATTCACATTTCTGTTCTGTCTCATAATAAGGTCTTCCTACCCTCATTTTCACTGACAACGTTGCTATCTGCATTTTGCTGCATTGACATGCCAATTCATTTGTAGACATAAAAAAATCAGTTTTTAATGAAGTATTTTGAACAAAAATTTCTCCATAAATATATATAGTCAAAGTGTTGACTGCTTCGAGCTCGAAGTAATTTTCATGATAAGATTAAAAATACTTTTCTTCATTTGAAAATTTCATATTTTTGTTCAGTAAATTTTTTTTTTATCTGTTATTTTCTTTACCCTAACTATACGAGGTTGATCAATTTGTCTGACCTTTTGTAATCACCAAAAAACAAAAGAAAATCTAAGTTACCCTTTTTTGTTTATAGAATGTCTTCAAATTGTAACATGAAACTACACTTGTTTACTTAAATATCTTTGAACTTGTAACACTATACATCTGTTTATACTTGCATTTTATTGTTTTATTACCCTTTGAACTGTGTTTAACTAATATTCCCACCAAAAAATTATGAAATCAATTGGCAAATGTGCACCTCATGTTACCCTATCAAATTATATAACACATGAGCTACTCGTGAGTTGCTGGCGAGCATATCTCGTGAAAAATTATCATTCTTCATTCTACCTAATCTAACCTAAAAAGTTTATAATTTTTACATTTTAGTTACTTTTATAATAATAAATAAAGAATACACACAAAAAGCAAGAAATATATTACAGTACACCACCAATTTTCTGGCAACTGATGGTCTGGCACCTCCTTTAATATTGACAAAATTACGAGAGCACACTTGAAATTCCTGCAACTGCCAGACTACTTCACTGGGTGGCCACAGATAGTATTCTGTGTGACGCACACTCTTTCGGGATGGGCTACTTACATTTTATGTAGATACGTCACTCTCGTGAAAATTTTCTTATAAATATTAAACTAGTGGATCAAATTGCTTGAATTTTTTCATGAATGTTGCCAAGAATACGTAGTTTAACAAGATACAAATATTTAGTTTCGATTATTTTTCTTAAATTTTTTTACAACACAGAATGTTGATAATAGTGTATGAAAATTCAAAATATAAAGCATTTGAAAATAACAATAATGATAACAGTAAAATTATAAAATTTGCCACTTTGGAAGTGGTATTACTGCAACATTCTTTGTAAGTACAGTAATTAATAAACTTTTTCATTTATACTGTACTAATAAACCAGTATCGTTTATACCTGTACTAATGTATTTCATTAATCATTTAATTCACATTTAATATTTGCTTGTTTTTTTTAGTTTCTAGCAGTCCATGGTGCTTTAGAGACACATGAGGGGTATAATTAGTGAGTCAGAGTTGTATTGTTGAATTATTATTACGTGACCTCTGCTGGTGCGGCAAAACGGATAGTCTGGCAAAATCCTGGAACCACGGGTGCTGGAAAATCGATGGTGTACCTGTACTGACCTGGGTTCTTTTTTTTTTTTTTTTTTGCTGTCCACTGTTGATGAAACTTAACTCTACTTTTTGTACTAATGGTGCTGCACTAAATAATGTTTTATTTAATTAAATAATGCACCAAAGAACACAGAATAATAACAGACAAAAAAAAAGCAGACAATGTTCCATAACTATCACAATTTGTCTGGCTTTCTAACTATGTGACAAGTTCAATTAAAAATTCATTAAAAGTTCATCAGTGTGTTTCCCCATGGGAATAAAGTTTTAACTAAAAACAAGATAGACAATTATCTTTGCAGAAAACAATGTAATATAAGACTTCATTTGATAAATTAAAAGTTGGCTTTTCATTGGTTATAAATAATATAGTATTAAATGTCAGAGAGAACTATAGGCAATTTCTGAAAGAGGTAAGGATGTAAGTGGTGGGTGTGGCAAGAGGGAGCTGACTTTCTATTTTATGGCTTTGTAACCAAATAATAGTGAAGACTATAAAACTTGACGACATCATGAGAAATTTAATGCAAGTTTTGTATTTCTCAGAGGGGTGGTAAATAAATGAGAAAAGAGAGGATGCATAGAGAGCAAATGCTACAATTCTCATACTTGGGGATATTAAAAAAATTTTAAACACTGTCTTAGAAAATTAAGAACTTAAAACTTGTATAATATTAAAACTTTAATATTTACAAGGTAGCTGTTTTTGAAGTTTGTGTACTGTTTTTGGTGAACTCTTAAGTGTATATATTTTTTCATAATTAATTTGTTTTTGAACCATTATTCTTGTAATGTAGAAGCAGTTTCAATAACTACTGGTATATCATTTAGTGGTATCCTTGTTGTATTAAGCCTTTTTATGAGACTTAATTTTCATTGATTATTATTTTTGAAAATATTCAAGTATAAAATAATTCACATGTACAGTTTCCGCATTGCACAGCTTTAGCCTTGTGAATTTTAACTGAAGTGGCTGTATACACATTAAGTTTTTTTTTAATTGCAAGAAAATTGAGTATCTTTCTGAGACTACTAAATTTGTGATGTAACATCAGCGATTCTGTTACATTATAAACTTAAATTAGCAACCTAGTGATGATGCTTTAGTTTTGATTATGGTACAGTAAAGTGTGAATGCATTTGGGCAAAACTACTGAGAAAATGTCAGAAATAAAACTTATCTTGTATATAAGGAAATTAAGTTTGAAGTGTACTAGTTTGTTTCATATTGAATAACAAATCAGAGTATTTGTTATGAATACAAAACACTTTGCTGTAACTTTAATAATACAAAGAAATCAGTGAAAACACCAGAGTGTTTCTTACATTATTACCAATATGCAAAATAAGTTTTCTGGACAGTCAGACAAAGGTGTTTGATGATGCGCAAAACAGTTAATCTATGTTATTTGTAGGTCTGATTTCATAGAAGAAAGCAATGATCACTAATCACAATTAACTTTTCCAGGGACATTAACCTTAAACTTCTCAGTAAAAAATGTTAGCTTTCTTTCTATATAATGTCAGTGAGAAAAGAGAACAGAGACTTCTTATTAACAAGAACTTAAAAAGTATAGTACAAAAAAGTAACTTATACATTGTTTAAGAACTCTTTGTAAAATGATTGGGGGTTAAACCAGCTTAAGAGATTTAACTTGGATCTAAATCCATAAATTTACTAATGCAAAGTTAACTTAAGTGTAAAAATAATTCAAGATTATTAGTAACCAAAGAAAAAATACCAGCTGGTTTGCTGCTGTGTTACATGCATGAATATATATGTAGAAGCATTTTTGTATTTACCCAAGTGAACATCCAAGAGCAAAAAAATTAAACAAACCAATTAACTGCAATTAAACTACTCTCAAAGAGCTACTAAATGACATCAATTTGTTTAATTATATTCTCTGAATAAAAATTTAACTTCTTGGTCAGAGCTTATCTTGAGAATAGGTATAATTCTACAAGCTCATGTGTTTTCATTTCTGTATTATTTTTTTGGAGTGGTTTCAGATACATTAATCTCTCCAGTTGAGTCATTGCTTTTTTTGTTCTCCGATTTCTTCTGAAAATCTTATGCAATACCCAAAATTTATTTTGAACACTGTCCAGTTATATGTGATGTTTTGTTTTAACTAGTCCAATTTCATGTGCACTCATTCTTTTATATAAATATATTTAGGGGTAGTATTCAACAAAGAACTAATAACTGTTCCATCCCACAGAATTGCGGGTATTTGTGTTTGATCAAAACTTTTAATATGAAGTTGTATTTAATTTTTTGTGAACTAGATATTACTGATCTTTTAATATTAAAATATATTTATTAAAATACCAAGTAATTGTTTTGAAAATGCTTAACCCACCTGAGAGTTACATGCCAATATCATCTTTATGAGCATTAAATAAATAATGCAATTAACTAAAAGTTAATGGTTGAATTATTCTACAGAAATGTTAAAAATGTTTTATGATGAAAAATTAAATATGGTATACCAATTTTTTTCTCTTTTAGTTTCAAGATGGGGAGAATTGTGTTTTAGATTGCCCAACCAACAATAGCTGTGTAGCTCAAACATGCTGTGGGCCACAGAAAGATGGTAAAGAATCTCCAGTAGCTGGCCTTCCCAATGGATCTGTATCACCAACATGTCGCCAGAGGAATAACAGTTATGCACCTGAACTTAGGCGAAGTATGAGTGAGGTGCATGTGATGCTAAATTCAGAACAATTAAATGATATTGAAGAAACTGTAGCTTAACAGGAATTGCAGTTACTTCAATTTTCTGAACCCGTGGTTGTGACAAGTCAGGGCTTAATCTAGGTGGATTTCTAAATATTTTGTGAATGTTGGTTTAAAAATTTTCTAACTCTTTATGATAGGGTGTTTGGTGAAGTAACAATCACTGAAATGTTTTCAGATTTTTTTTAAATAATCACGATCAGCTTGTATGTGTGGATATACGTGTACATTAAAAGTTTATTTTTGTGTTTCAAACCACCTTGATTCAAAATATAATTGTTGTAGAGACCATATTTTGATTTCTTTTATCTTGCAACTCAGTCCGATAAAAGGATACAGATGTTTTATCTGTTGCCTTTGGAATCAATGACCAGTAATCAACATGCTTCTTTAAGAAATCTAGGTTAAGTCCTGCACTTAATTTTTGTTACTTTCATTAATCTAGAAAATATTGAAAACGTGAGTTACAATATAACAGTTCTACAGACGTGCACATTAATATATTGTGTATCATGTAGCTAAGTAGTGATTTTTTAAGTGTATGTAGTATAATATTCTTGTCAAGTACTAATATTTGTTAATCCAGAGCATTATTACACACACACAGTAATTATTGCCAACCAGAAGCAGTATCAATGAAAATGTCTAACTAGCTATTAAATATTACAGACATTACCTTCCTTTATAAAGGTAATTATGTAATAACTTCTAACAGAAGAGCTGCTAAAATTCTACAGTAATAATTAGAAATAATAATAAATACTCTTAATTTAAAATCATGTGCAGTTGTGGAAATATTATTATAGGAACAAGTATTGTGAATTAGTAAAATTTCATTCATATATTGTATATATATATACGTGAATAAAATAATGCTATGAAGTATAAATTTTACAAAGCATTCATAACATTGCAGCATTCTTTGATTATATTGTAAATCAAACTTGTTTTACGCTATTATGATTTATGAATCTTATAAATCTGTTAAATTTTTACTGATTATGAGGTGTTGAATTAATCGTGTAAATCTTCAGAACTTTCAGTCCTTGCCACCTTTTTTAAGAAGTGTATAAAAACAGTATGACAGTTTGTAATAATGTAGTTTTTGTACTACCTATGATCGTATGAAGTATGTTTTATAAACGTAATTACATGTACATTGACAAGCATTAGAGAAGGGTGACTAAATATAAGTGGTATTTTTTTAGCATAAATGAGCTTTACTGTTACTCTTAATATAGTTCTTTATTTGGAAACACTGGAAAAGATGTTTTTTCGTGCAGTGATTAAACATTCAGAAAGATTTATGCAGGTTTAAGAAATGTCGTTAAAACACACGAGGGGGTATTTAGAAAGAAACAGAATTTAAGAATGATCCATTATCATCATCATTTCATGGGCTTCATCGCGTGAGTTTGATAACGTAAAAAGAACTGCATGCAACTCCTTTAAGAGCTCCTGGAAAGGATCATGTAAACCATCTTTGAGAGAACTAAAATGATGGTCACAGGACGTTTAAAGGATGGAAAAGATACTGTCTAGAATTACTTCATAATAAATAGTATAAGATGTGATTTTATGTAACAGAATAACAGATATTAACTTCTTTAGATATTAACTACATGTTGATATCCAGCTTATGAGAAAGAAAATTATCTGAGCACCTCTTGTAATAAAAACCAAAAGTTTTTTTTTTTTTTTTGTATATGTATTTATTTCCACATTCTCATTGTTAATGTTATATTTTTCTTGTGAATTTAGTAAATACATGCACATGCGCATGTTTGAGTAATCCAAGTGAGGACCTGTTTACAATTGTAATTTGTTATTATTAGAATTATTCAGTGGTCATTTCTGATTAGTAAAATTGTCATAGCATTGCCAGAATAAAAATCTAGTTGTCTAGTCAAAAACAATTGAAGAATGAAAAATATTTTAGTGGTTTGTGTAAGAGGCCTACTTTAATGCATTCCTTACTCACTTGGTAAATATAGTTGTATTCTGCTACTATAGTTTCTTGCTTTTAGTCTAGTAAATATAGTTGTATTCTGCTACTATAGTTTCTTGCTTTTAGTCTAGCAAATATAGTTGTATTCTGCTACTATAGTTTCTTGCTTTTAGTCTAGTAAATATAGTTGTATTCTGCTACTATAGTTTCTTGCTTTTAGTCTAGTAAATATAGTTGTATTCTGCTACTATATTTTCTTGCTTTTAGTCTAGTAAATATAGTTGTATTCTGCTACTATAGTTTCTTGCTTTTAGACTAGTAAATATTTTTCTTTTTCCAGCATTAAATCTTTCTTTTTGAGTTAATCAGTATAACAAAATTATGGACAGCATTCTAACTGAACGTGCAAACTCTGCACACCACTTAACTTTGTTGTGCTTTATCTAATGACTCATTGCTATATCTAGAAATTATAACTAATACAATTTTGGGATAGGTAATATTATAATTAAGTCTTAATGTTTTGAATGGGGCTTTTTTTTGTTGTTGTTATTATTATCGTACCTGGAAGTACTGTCTGATGTTTGAATCTAGTAATGGAAATTATAACAGTACAAGGAAACAATTTTTGATTGTATATTAGCAGATTATAGTGCATTTGCTGAAAGATTGTATATACAAGGTTTTATGAAATTTAGTGTTACAGAAAGCCTAGCAAACACTGACAGGTTGTATGCTAGTTACATTTAATGTTAGGCCTACGCTTAACACTAGTTGCTTTTGACAGACAAAACATTCCATGGTACAAAAAAAGAAAACAGGTCAACTTGTTATAACAGGTAAAGTCTGAAGGTTTAAATAAATAGACTAGTTTTCATATATACTGTTACATTTGCATGAATGATTGAAATATATGTCACTCATGGATTTTTAGAATTAGTATGATAATTGTTCATGTTAAACTAATGGGAGTCCCCCATTAGGTCAGCAGCACTAAAATACAGGGTTCAATTTCCTGTGGTGGAAAGAGTGCAGATAGCCTATTGTGTAACTTTGTACTAAAATAAACTACCAGGAATATTGACTAATTCTACAAATTTATGACTGAAAAAAAAATGTATAACAATATATCAACCACATTGTAGCTTCTAAACAGTGCCAATGAGGCCTTTTGCCCAATACAAGGTTTCATCAGGTCAGCTGGGATACATCAGACACAGTAGTTGTTATAACTATTCAGTAGGCTGTTATCTCTTCTCAGTTCATAATGCAATTGAAGTGTGCTTGATTCTTAATATATCCAAAGGTCATCTTAGGTGTTAACCAAGTTTTGCATAACTCCAGCTTTCATAGTTTTTATTTTTAAACATAAACGGTGAAATCACGGGATCTACAATAACTCTTATAAATTACTTTCAATTCATGTACTTTTCAGCTGTATAACATTCATAACTGTGCTGATGAGATACTGTAAATATGTATTTTTCCTATAGATTAATTACTATAAACTAAATTTCCATCCTTTTAAAACTGTTATTCTTTATTGAAAGATAACTATAAACACATCTTTCATGTTGTTGATTATATTTTTAATGTATCTTCTACCAAAATTAAGCTACTTAGCCAAGGGAAAATGCTAAATGTAGTTCAGAAATAGTTGAGCTTACTTGTCATCAGAATGTTCTTACGATAATTTGGTGAAGTGTAGCTCTATTTGTGTGAAATGTATATCTATAAAAATGTAAGATTTCATTGCATTATGGCTGTTATTTTATTTTCATAAATTTCCATTGGTGTTTTCCTTTGAGCTGTAGACAGTGCACCTACTATTTTCATACAGTGAATATGGCCAGTCTGAAAATAATTAATCTCATTATTTGTTTTATAACCAGAAAAATGTGTTAACTCTGTGAATAATTAATGTTTTACATGAGGATACTTTTACTCAGTGTGATGTGGAATATCTTTTTTTAAATTATCTTTCAATTTCACCTTCAAAAAAGTTTTGTACATTTGGATATTCTTAGTAGATATATAGCAATATCTCTAATTTTGTAGATTTTTTAGTATGTCATCTAATGGTTATAATTTCTGTTTCTAAGATAGAATATGAAAATAGATCTGCTACTTTTGTAGGTAATTAATCTGTAATCTCCAAAGTATGTTGCCAGTAACTTTGTTTGTTTTTTCTCTCTTATTTACTTGCACTTTTTTTAGTGTCTAGAGTACTGTTATGATTGAGAGATTGGTAGTTAGTATGAGATATAGTACGCCTTTAGGTTTTTATTTTCTTAAAGAATCTTCAAAGATTTAGACAACTATTTTTCCAAAATTAGGACCTTGATTAATTCAAATTTATATTTTAAGTGAAAAAGATGACTTTTTAACTTATCAGTTTTAAACTTAACAGAATTATTTAAAATGTCATCATTTTAATCAGATAGTAACTAACACAAAAAATAATGTAACTAATAGTCCCTGACTTAACACATTATGGGGTAAACAGAGTATAGCATTAAAGATACACAAAATAAGAATAGTTAATCACACTACAACTTAAATCTCTGAAAGCATTTTATTTATAATCATTGTCAAAAATATAGTATCCTGAACATGTTTTACAAGAGAATTATGTGAACTGTAACGTAAACATAAATAATAAGTTTTAATGAATAGCTAGAGTAAATTATGTTTGACTCCCATATTTGGTGTTGGGAACTTGAGTTGCTTAACATAGCACATTAATTCTGTAAAAGAAACTTACATAGTTGTTATATATAAATTTGTTTTTATGAACACAACTGCTTTCATTCCATTACTAATTATAGAAATAAAAAGTTTAGTAAAGATGTGGAAAAATATACATCTAGACCAAGCAAGTCAGAATTTGTGTAATTTGAAATTCAGCGATATCTTTATTACACCAAACTAAGTACCAACTATTTTTATTTTTTAAACATTATTAAAAGAACATTAAGATGACTGAATGAGAGTTAAGAAACATCACTTCTATTGAACACTTATACAAATTTATATAGTGAAAATGTTTATTTAAACATTGTATAATACTTTCTTTGCCAGTAGGATCTCACTTTAAGTTGTCTGCGTAACTGTAGAACATATTGTAGGTTGTCTGATTCATTTATGACTGATTAATTAAAACATGATCAGACCACCAGTCATTTGCTTGATTTACATGTGCATTTTGTGCAAATAGCAAGTGATTGTCCTAAATCTACAAGTTTTGCTTCAGTCTGATAATTTTTTCTTTAATATTACATCAAAGTCAAGGCAATTAGTTCAAAAATCAGCAAATAGTGAAATAGGAGTCTTCTGTATTTTATTATTTTTTAAAGTTTGTTTTTGTAGTCAAAGTTTTAGAATTATTATTTCACTAAATATCTTCTCAGTATATTTTACCATATATTTTTACTGTTCATAAATTTGCTAATTTTGGCTTTTTTTAGCCCTGTAAGTCTACTGTTCCCACTTTTATGTAATGGTAGAGAATTTTTTTTTTGTGTGTGCGTGTGTAAGCCTTTAGAATTTTTTGTTATGTTCTCAAGACAGACTACAAACACTAGTGTACTTTTGTGAAGTACATATTAAATTTTTCTTATTTTTGAACAACAAATAGTAGAACAGTAATTCATTGTTTAATCCTGGAAGTGAGAAATATTCTCTAATTTTGCATTTTTGAGGAGCGTTATTTAACTTATGTGGAAGGATGTGGGGTTTTATGTGATCTCAAGCTGTTGGTGATAAAGATGGGAAATACTTCATTCAGATCAAAAGAAAAAAATAATCAATGACCTAAATTTTTACAATAACTTAAAAATGAGCAGTTTGAGAGCACATACATTTCATGAAAGTCATTAATTACAATTACTATTAAATGAGTGTTTTATAAACTAAAGGATGACTTATTGAAAAAACAAATCTTTTTTTACTGAAACAGTTAACAATTTATCTTGTAAACATTTCAAAATCTCGCAAATCATCAGTAATCACAAGATGTTAAAATTACACGTGTGTGTGTATGTTTGTGGTATATGTATTCTTATATAACAGTAGATTTTGGAACATATCTATAAGGGTTTATAAAAATGTGTAAATATTAAAAAGATATATTTTTTTGCCAATTTTCATCCATGTGTACTAGAGTTAAAGCTACATGACTTGGTAACACATTTTTAATAATTTGTAACATAGTAGTAAAGGTGTAATCCTAAACTCAACATTTGCTTGCAGAAGCTTACTTATCATAAGCTTATGTTTTACAGTGATCAAGTAAATTCCCAGTCTTTGGGAGGGAACATTTTTGTATCCTGTTGATTTTTGCAACTAAGATAGGATTCTAAATTATAACTTTTTGACATAAACTTCCTGGTTTGAGAACTTTTATTTAACCACTGGCGGATCCAGATTTTGAAAATGGGGAGGAGCAATGATTCTGAACGTAAATGATGAATTTTTGGGACTTCCCTGGTAGGAGTTAAATAGGTTATTTAGATTTATTATAATGTTTGCTAGATGTTGTTGTTATTATTGCTTTTTTATTTTTTGTAAATTTAATATGAAATTTCACTACATTCTTCCCTTCTCAAAGATCCAATTTTTGCAAATATTTTGATTTTATTTTCAAAATGAGGAAGGGGGGTTGTGTGCCAGGCCTGTATCCGCACTTGTTAACCTATAGTTAGTTTCATCTTAAAGGAACTTGCACACAGCTGAGAAAGCTTTGTTCAACTGAGCCATCCTTGAAAAAGCTCCTTTACAGTTTCCTACTTTCTTTTTACTGATCGTTTCTAATGTAAACTGTTGAAGAAGAAAGGAGGCAGTGGTTTTAAGTATCTAAGAAGTTCTTATTTTAGTCAACTTACTGATGCTTTGTATGGCACGTGTAAGAAAGTGTGTTGAGACAATCCATTTAATTAATTTTATTATAGCCCTATAGAATTAAAGATGCAACAGTATTATGTGAATGGTTGTATTTTTAAGTTTTATATAATTTTGTGTTCACTGTTTGTGAAATAAGGAACTCTTATAAACAAATATCACATTGTAGTGTGCCTTCTAAAACAAGAGGATAGTTGTCCAAAGCCCACACCTTACAATTTCTAATTTAAAACTTTCAGAAGTCCAAACTTGTATGTTATTTGTTGTTCCACTTCATATTTAACAAAGTATCATTAAAGAATGTTCAGTACGTGGCACTGGCTTTTTAGCCGTGGCATAGCAGCTCATAGAATGGCTCAGAGTTTTTTTCAAGTACAAACGTTTAGCTCATAGCTCCATCTCTTGACCGATTTGAGATCTAATTACAGCCATGGCTATTGAGGATTCCCTCTTGTTTCTTTAGGCGTAACTGAAATCCAATTTATTATATTTAAAGGCCATTTCAAATATATCGGAGCGTATTATAATTTTCTGATAAGATGCTATCATAGTTTGGATACTAATGTGATTCTACAGGATAGTTTATCTTAGGTTGACTGAATATATTGTTCTTCTCATAGGACTAAACTTTTAATGTTGCAAACAAAGTTTTACAAACATTATTGGCATGATGGCTTTGGAGAAGAGTGACTACCCAAAACTCAGTATAGTTCATTATACTTAAATAACCAAAAGTGTATTAACAAGAGATGTTATAACTCTTCCAAAAGCTTTGTCGAAACCAAAAAATGGAAAAAAAATCTTTAAACACTCAGTTCTTACTGCATCTTTAATGAATTTCTTGTACTTATGAATTGATTTCTTTTATAGTGTAGTTTTTATTCGACTAAGCACTTTGCATTTTCATCCTTATACTTTGACATTTTTTGTAAAAAACTGAGGCTGTTTAGAAATTACAAATACAAATTTATATTTAATATACTTGAAAACTGTTTAAATACTTTATGCTGTATGTCATTTTATCAGTCCTTGTTTTTTTTTTTTTATTATTTTGTATTAATTGATGGGATCAAGTGCCCTGTTTAAAGAATTTGTGTTGATTGATTTTCATTTATTCTAATTCATGCCTATATCTGTATCTATATGCACTTTAGTGATTATTCTTGGTTATAAATGTTTAGTTGAAGGTGTAAAAATAAAATTATACTGTCTTGGTAATCAGTCTTAAATATTTTTTTCACATTCCTATGACACCAATATATTTTTTCAATCAGATAAAAAAATATCAACTTTGCAAGATGAATATTAAGATTCCATAAAACTTACTATTCTTTATTGACAGGATCATTTCTTGTTAAAATGAAATTTGGTACACATTGTTGGGGAAATGTTAGTCAAGATAAGAATAGCTAGAGATACAGAACAAATTAAGCAGAGTCAAGTGAGTTTTTTTTAACTGACTGAATAGAAGGAAGAGACAGGGAAAAAATTGACAAAATCTAGCAATTCTTTATTATTTAAGAAAAAATATTCAGCAAGTCGTGCATAATTGATACAACAGACAGCATTTGTATTTAGAAAATGGAATAAGGTTTACATTAAAGTATAAAGAAAGCCTAAGTGTATCTTGTGTGTAATAAAGGACAGTTGTTTTTGCCAGAGTTACTCCATAACGTTGCAGCTCACTTCATATGCTATACTAATTGTGTTGGGATTGTTTTCCAGACTAAATTAATCGGGCTTCACTTACTTAAATTGTTAGCGTCAGACCTAACCAGAGCGGTTTGTACTATCATGTGACTGGTCATTCCCAAGGAAGCTAATAACCTCAAGAGATAACCTGATTGTCAGTGATAAAGACAACTGAATAATTTCACGTAATATAGGAGACTTTGTAGCTGTCTTTATCACTGGAAGACTGGAAACTGCACAAATATTAAATTCATAAAAAAAATTATATGTTAATACAAGGAGGGAGATAGTGCATATATACCAGAGTAAATAAAAGTCCCAGTGATCATCAACAAACCATCATTATTCGAGAATTATATCTGAACACTTCAGTTGTCATTTATGTATTAAACCAATATCGCAAAATCAGCTTTTCAGAAATGTGATTATAGAGATAGATTATTGCAAGACATTACCCCAATTGCTCACTGTCAGATATTGCTTGATAGTTTGGAAGGAAGGGTCTCGACTTCTCAGTTGTCAACTAACCCTTTTATCTGCTTGCCCAGCAGTAATAGTTTATCATTAAATTAACTTTCCTGACTGCTTATTAACCAGTAATCTATGTTATAATCATCAAGTATATAATGGAATCTTGGCTGATAATCAGAGTCAAACCATTTTTTTATTAACTGTCAGATAGCCACTGCCATAAGCTAAATTGAGATGCAGTTCTCTTGCCATAAGAGCTAACATGCTCATCCATCTTTGATTATTAGGGTAACTAGTTTTAAAGTGGCTCATTAACAACATGGAGATTTAGTTTGTTAACGTGTTCAACATTATTCTGTGTTCCACGTGAACACTACAGCTCATAGTTCACTTCATTAAGCTGTCAAAATACAAAGTACAGAACAATCAAGTGAAAACCAAGCTGCTTACCTGATGTATATACGTACTATAATCATACCCAGTCAACATACTCAAACTTTCATTGCAACATCCATTTGAAACACAACTGCCTCACCCAATTGTTGATGTACAGATTCATTGAATATAATATTGCAGAATGTATTCATTCTGAATACAATCCTATGAATTCTGCAATAAATCATTATTACTAGGTGTTGGGCCATACGTCACATCCACTGGAAGATGTAAACCTTTTCTGAACATATGGAGGTTCAGAGGACGGCCAGTCTATTGTTCCTCGCTTTCATTTTATGCCCTCGTGATTTAAAGTAAGTGCTCATCCCAGATTGTTCATTTAGGATCACAAGCTTAGCAAGTATCTGTTTGACAATCTGAACTGTCAATTCAGCCAAACTATTACACTGAGGATAATATGGTGAAGTGCATATTTTCACACAATTTTGAAGGAATTTACTGTTGAAATTGGCTCTTTAATTCATATGACAGGTACTCTGAATTATATAACCTAGGCCAACTTTATGATATCGTTGACAATGATCAGTACAAATCAATTACCTACCACAATTTTAGGCAAAAGGGCAGCTACATCCAGAAAAATTCTCTGCTTAAGAGAACATGTCTTTCTCGTGGAGTTTTACTTGACTGGTTATTCCTTTGGCAGAATACATGGTACAGTGTCTACACTATCTCTTAATATGTTTGCATAAATGTAGCAAGAAAAACTGATTCTACACATTTTCAATAGTGACTTTTGACAAGGATGCGCTTACACAGGTGCTTTAACCAAACATGCTTTAGGAACTAAATGTTTGCTAACATTTTTGTGTCTACGAAGGTACATTTGCCTTCGTTTAATCCAGACGTTAATTTGTCTATCTTAAAAACATTTCCATAAGTCATTGATAGTATGTTGCAAAATCTTAAAAAACTGCGAGCAGTGATTTGTTCTGAGGATGGAGTTCATCCTTGATCACCATAGTCTTTGTAGGATCAGTGACAATTCCATTCTTACCTACTATGTTGCCAATTTAAAGCCTGTATCTTTAAACTTTAGAAAATCATCGTCAGTTTCTCAGCAGTAGCCGAAAAAGTGTGACAAAATCTTAGTTTGACATCCACTGAGATGAAGTAGTTTCTGCTACTACAGTTCTCCAAGTGTAGGGCTTTTCAGCATCTCAAAAGTAGCAGGTACATTACAAAGCTAAAGAACGTGATGCAGAATTCATATAGTCCTTCCCAAACACGGAAAGCAGTTGTATATCTACTTTTACTGTCAATCTCAATTGGCCAGTTGCCAAAGGTCAGATTAAACATATTCAACCAGTGGATGCTTTCTAACATACCCAGCCATTTATCCATTTGCAGCAAAATAAAATCATTAAACAGTGTACCCACGCTTACCTACCTAAAATCCACATGGAAACGTTGTGTTTCCTCGTCCTTCTTCCTCATACTAACCAGTGAAAGCAATAAGTAATTTCTGAGCTATGCCATCCTTTAAGTTCTTAATCTTAGTGCTGGTAATATATCTGTACTTATAGGAAGCTTCCACATCCATTATTTTATTGTACACATGCAACGTATCCATATGATGTTTTGTTATTGTCATATCCAGATAATCATCTGCTTCTACATTTACATCAGCAACTTCAGATGCTCAGAGGACCCTGCAAATTCCTTAGAATTCAGTATTATTGCAATTGCATCAGTTATGCAGCTGGTCTGTTCCGTTTCTGTTACTGTTCATTTTAGCTAGAAGTTTTATAGTTGAATGTCCATAACTGCAAATCAGCATCAGCACAATGCCAGCACGTGGACAAAAACTATTTATGAAAGAGCAACCTGTTTTCTGCCCGTAGCATACTACAAAACACACTCCTATGTTTGGAGGCACTAAAATCTCCCGTTTCAACATACACATATGCAGTCCACTGTTCTCAGACACAATCTGGTTGATACTAGATGTTTTTGTACAGAACTGCATCTCATCTGTTACATAAAAGGAACTGACTGACAACTTCGACAATAGGTCCATCCCTAAGAAACCATTGGTTGAACAAATATTAGAAACAGATAATTTTACTTAGCAAGTGACAATGCTAAAACATAGTTTGAGATATGCATTTTTCACTTGCATCTATCTTACTCCAAAACAAAGTGTGTGTTAATTTGCTGAAGTGGTAATTTTACTCAAAATGACTGAAACACGGCAAAGCTATATAAAATTCTGGCTGCTACTGCATCCACTAGAAAATCAATTTTACATCCGTGTATCATTAAATGTATATACCATATCAAGTTCATGGTTGCTGAATCAACCACTATATGTCTGAGTAAAATGTGACTGCTATAACTGTCCAAGTTGGTAGCCAGATTCAACTCAGGCTCCACTAGCTTAAACTAGGTCGAGAAATTGTAGCCATAGCTTAACAATAACCCTCTTGTAGTTTCTTTACCATCAACTGGAAAGGAATTTGTGCTCACAACAGGATATGGACAATCCCACGTCCAATGACATGATAAACCAAAATTAAACCAGAGGCTCCATCCCTCATGTTCTAGGTATCTTCTCAGGAGTCTCATTTGCAGCATAGGTGGTGAAGCTGAAGTATGCAGAGTATATTCATCATTTAATTTAGACAGGTAAAAGTTTCTTATTTTACATAGTTCTAAAATTTTCTAAATGGAAAACCGACCTAACTGAGAGTACTACAGAGTAAAGTAGTAAGATGAAATTTTGATGCCATGACTACAGGGTATGTTATTCAGAGTCTTGTTTTTTCTCTCAGTGAATTTATTTTTTTCTGTGCTCTTCTTAAGTCTTGTGCAATCTGAGTAAAAGTATCTTTGTACTAAAGGATATGGCCTAGTGGTTAGGATGACTGACTCGCGGTCTGCGTATCACGGGTTCGAATCCTCTTAACAAAATAAGCTCGCACTTTCAGTCGTGAGAATGTTATAATGTGACAGTCAATCCCACTATTTGTTGATAAAAGAGAAGCCCAAGAATTGGCAGTGGATGGTGTTGACTAGCTGCCTTCCCTCTAGTCTGTCACTGCTAAAATATGGACAGCTAACACAGATAAGCTTCAAGTATCTTTGCGCGAAACTTAAAACAAACCAAACAAAAGGCTATGGTGTTTTCAACAAGGTGGAGGTCTCATAACCAACAAGAGAAGTTTGTCACTCAAAGTAAATATCTCCATGAAAGAGTATTTGGGTGTAGGAGAAGTCTTCTCTTGGATGTTATATTCCCACTAATTCTGGAGATATCCACTATTGCAATTTCTCTGCAACAGCGATGTCAAGAAGATTCTTCTCTTGAAAATTCAACTAAGTGCACAGAAATCTCTGATGGCTGAGAGTCATCATGGTGTCTTATGGTCTGGTAGTTCTTAGTATGAATGGAGTGATCTTCAGAACTGCTAAGTGAAAGACAATCAAGGCAGCCAAACCCAAATTCTGGTTGCTTTCACCTGTGACCATCCAAAAAAGCTGAAGGTGTTGCTGATAGATTATGTCCACTAACCATAGTTGTCTTGCCATAAGGAGGAACACCAGACACCAAGAAGTAAAGATGGTACCCTTGCCTCCCTGTAATAAGAAGCATGCTA